ATGAGTGAGTGAGTGAGTGAGTGAGTGAGTGAGTGAGTGAGTGAGTGAGTGAGTGAGTGAGTGAGTGAGTGGTCTTCCAATCAACTCTTTCATAACTAATCCCCCACAAACCCTCCCTTAGTAATCCCTAAAAAAATATTCCCTAGCCATATACTGCAGTCATCTACCTTCCCTTCCCCTCTCTTCTTCCCTACCCATCCCTCTCCCTCTCTTCCCCCCCCCCTCCCCTTTCTCTCTCCCTCTCATCTTCCCCTATCTCCTTCGACTTGTAATACGTCAATACCACTTATCCGGCAGACACTGTACTATACACTACACATCAACATACGTTTATAAAACACTAGTAATAAACGCCGGTCGCAAGAAGCAGGATATATATATATATATATATATATATATATATATATATATATATATATATATATATATATTAGTATATTTTGGTAGCAGTCTTTCCTGTAGACATATTTTATTAAATATGACCGAAAAAGTAAGATTAATAATTCTAACACGAATTTTCTCAATCTTTCGTACATTATGCTTCACTGTTGGAGGTAAATCAAAAATCACTTCTCCAAAATTCATTTTTATTTCTAGTCTGACGCGACACGGGCGCGTTTCGTAAAACTTATTACATTTTCAAAGACTTCACAAATACACAACTGATTAGAACTTGCGTTTCCCTGATTTTATATCTACATTTGAGTGAGGTGGGAAGGGTGATGTGGCATTACATTTGAGTGAGGTGGGAAGGATGATGTGGCATTAGAGGATATTAATAGGGTATTAAAAGTATCAACACAAGACAGAACACGAAACAATGGATATTGAATAGAAGTGTTTGTAGAAAGCCTATTGGTCCATATTTCTTGATGCTTCTATATTGGAGCGGAGTCTTGAGGTGGGTAGAATATAGTTGTGCAATAATTGGCTGTTGATTGCTGGTGTTGACTTCTTGATGTGTAGTGCCTCGCAAACGTCAAGCCGCCTGCTATCGCTGTATCTATCGATGATTTCTGTGTTGTTTACTAGGATTTCTCTGGCGATGGTTTGGTTATGGGAAGAGATTATATGTTCCTTAATGGAGCCCTGTTGTTTATGCATCGTTAAACGCCTAGAAAGAGATGTTGTTGTCTTGCCTATATACTGGGTTTTTTGGAGCTTACAGTCCCCAAGTGGGCATTTGAAGGCATAGACGACGTTAGTCTCTTTTAAAGCGTTCTGTTTCGTGTCTGGAGAGTTTCTCATGAGTAGGCTGGCCGTTTTTCTGGTTTTATAGTAAATCGTCAGTTGTATCCTCTGATTTTTGTCTGTAGGGATAACGTTTCTATTAACAATATCTTTCAGGACCCTTTCCTCTGTTTTATGAGCTGTGGAAAACAGCTCATAAAACAGAGGAAAGGGTCCTGAAAGATATTGTTAATAGAAACGTTATCCCTACAGACAAAAATCAGAGGATACAACTGACGATTTACTATAAAACCAGAAAAACGGCCAGCCTACTCATGAGAAACTCTCCAGACACGAAACAGAACGCTTTAAAAGAGACTAACGTCGTCTATGCCTTCAAATGCCCACTTGGGGACTGTAAGCTCCAAAAAACCCAGTATATAGGCAAGACAACAACATCTCTTTCTAGGCGTTTAACGATGCATAAACAACAGGGCTCCATTAAGGAACATATAATCTCTTCCCATAACCAAACCATCGCCAGAGAAATCCTAGTAAACAACACAGAAATCATCGATAGATACAGCGATAGCAGGCGGCTTGACGTTTGCGAGGCACTACACATCAAGAAGTCAACACCAGCAATCAACAGCCAATTATTGCACAACTATATTCTACCCACCTCAAGACTCCGCTCCAATATAGAAGCATCAAGAAATATGGACCAATAGGCTTTCTACAAACACTTCTATTCAATATCCATTGTTTCGTGTTCTGTCTTGTGTTGATACTTTTAATACCCTATTAATATCCTCTAATGCCACATCATCCTTCCCACCTCACTCAAATGTAATGCCACATCACCCTTCCCACCTCACTCAAATGTAGATATAAAATCAGGGAAACGCAAGTTCTAATCAGTTGTGTATTTGTGAAGTCTTTGAAAATGTAATAAGTTTTACGAAACGCGCCCGTGTCGCGTCAGACTAGAAATAAAAATGAATTTTGGAGAAGTGATTTTTGATTTACCTCCAACAGTGAAGCATAATGTACGAAAGATTGAGAAAATTCGTGTTAGAATTATTAATCTTACTTTTTCGGTCATATTTAATAAAATATATATATATATATATATATATATATATATATATATATATATATATATATATATATATATATATATATATATATATATATATATATATATATTTATATATATATATATTATATATATATATATTTATATATATTTATATATATATATATATATATATATATATATATATATATATATATATATATATATATATATATATATATATATATATATATATATATATATATATATATATATATATATATATATATATATATATACACAAAAGTACCCGTGTGAGTACTGTCAATGAAACAAAAACATTAATAACAAATAAAGTGACCAAAATATATGTACGAGAATGACCTCAAAATTCCAGGATTTGAACAGTTCTAAATCTTACAATACCTTATCCAAACTTTGGATATTACTTCTATATGGCAAACTTTGACATAGAAGTAATGGCTATTGTAGAACGCTGGGACCAGCATTCATCAAGCTTTTATGCAACCGAAACCTGTACATCTTTTCCTTTATTAAACGGTTTATGGGCGTCGATACGCTAATTGGTTATTTATAATAATAATAATAATAATAGCAATAATAATAATAATAATAATAATAATAATAATAATAACGATAATAATAATATTCTTGGGTTGTGACGTCTCGAAAGGATTAATATATACATACTAAGCCGTGAGGATTGATACAAGATATATAGGTTTCGTAAGTGGCGCAAATGCTTGTCTGGTCCAGAGGCACAAATAACACCCCTGAACACAGGTATTGGTCGGCTACATGTACAGTACTTGCTAGCCCAACATGTTCAGACACTTCAAATCTTTATAGAGAATGCCGCCCGATGCACGCCAGTGGTGGGAAATGTCTACATTCTATGTTAAAATGGTTTCTTCCTACTTCCTACTCATTCACTTAGATTGGTAGGCAGTGCGACGGCCTGGCTTCTTGTAGGGTCGGGGTTAGAACCCCGATATGTCAAGTGGTTTTGAGTACTGATCTTTCCCTCTGTCGTCACATCTCAGACATCCTTGTCGCCATCCTCTTCAAGTTCGAAACAATGATCTTGGCTTCCCGCTTCCTCCTGAAAATTGCCTTACATTACTTCATAATCACTGGAACATTATTATGGGAGACTAGGCATCTTTTTATTGCTAGGCTGAGTCCAAACTTTCTCCTGCCTTCAGAGATATTTGCCTACCAGGGAACACCCATCTTGTTCTTCGCCAGGGAGCAGCAAGCCTGTTCTTTGCTGGGGAACACCCATCTTGTTCTTCGCCAGGGAGCAGCAAGCCTGTTCTTTACTGGGGAACACTCATCCTGTTCTTCGCCAGGGAGCAGCAAGCCTGTTCTTTACCGGGGAACAAAGACTCGCCATTAACGAGTCTTTAGTATATAATTGTTTCCTACAAAACAATTATATATAAAATCCATTTCATTTTACAAACAGTTTTTGTGGTGATAATTACTTATAACCTCGTAAATGTTTTATTCCCCCCCCCCTTGCATATTATTGGGCTGAATAATGTCATCAAGCGACCCAATTGACTCATTAACCGTCTTATTAGCGACTCGGCCTCCCTAATCACCGATGACCGGAGGTGCGTAATTAGCCTTAATTATGTGTGTAATGTTCCCGCGGAGGGGCCTTGTTCCGGGACTTGATTACCAATGCTAAATGGGTAATTGAAGGTTATTATTAAATTCCCACGAACGACGGCTCGTGTTCCCACAGTGAATTTTGAACCATTAAACCAGAAGCGTTTTGGCGCCTCTCCTCTGTTGATGTTCTGTGGCACAGAGGTCTACGTGCTCGGCTGTCCGTGCTCGGCCTACGGACAGGACCGTAACGGTGGGGAACGTTTTCTTTCAGTTGATGCCTCTGTTCACCTAGTAGTAAAATAGAATCCCCGGGAGTTAGGTAACTCTTCCGACCTGCATCCTGGGAAAGGTTAGTAGTTGTCATAGTCCACTACGGGCTCACCATAGCCCGTGCTACGTGGGACTTTTTGTTCCAAATTTTATTTATATTAACACATTTAGGTACATCTGCATTTGTGAAGCTATCCTAGACTATATCAAAAGGAATACAAAGAGTGAATACAAAGTGTGTCAAGATCGAGCTACGTGATGCTTGAAATCTCCATCACATAAGATGGTTAGTCATACAGGGCCATGTGATCAGCAGTTTTTTTTTTTTTTTTATTAACATATTAGGTACATCTGCATTAGTGCAGCTGCCCTAGACTATATGAAGTGGAGTACAGTGTGTCAAAAAAGCTAACTAGGTGATGCTAAGAAATCCCCATCACACAGGATGGTTAGTCATACAGAGGCATGTGATAAGCAGTCTTCACTGGCAGACTCCGGATGCATTTTGAGGATATCAACAACACAAGATTGAATAAGGCAGCAGTGGTAATAAAAGTCCCCATCTCGCAGGATGGTTAGTCATACAGAGCCATGTGTTTAATAGCCTGCACTGGCAAATTTTGGGTATACTGTGAGGATATCTTCAAGAATAGGCTCACCATAGCCCGTGCTACTTGGAACTTTGTTTCAGGTAGCGAATCTTTAACAACAACAACACCGGGTGTCAGCAAACCTGGCCAAATACCTTGGCATGCCCAGGACACTGTGAGCAGACTACACTACCCTCCGCTCTATATCCTAAGACCGCACAGTCTAATATTTATCGTTTCTCCTTCCACAGGCAGCTGTTCCCAGTTCGGGCACTCGTGCTTCGGTGCCCACGGCAAGAGAGACGGAGGGGAGCAGTACCCCCGCCAGCAGGAACCCTCCCCACTATACCCCGAGGTCAACCCCCTCGCGGAGTTCGAAACCAGGCAGGACCTGCCCGTCGACGAAGTTCCAGCTGTCACCAACCGAGAAATCGTCGCTAACGTCCGAAACTGGGTAATCACTTTTGTTCATTCCGTCATCGACAAAGGTCAAAGGTTCATTCCATTCAGCTGCCACACACCCTGTTTATGTATGAAAAATGATTGACATACGATTCAACTGATCACATTCGAACATTTCTCATTGTTTCGCTGACAACTTGTGTTCGAATCGCAACTCGTTATATGAATCGCAACCCTCATACTACAAATACAAATAATTGCCAACAGAACCTGAACCCCTAAATATGCACAATATGCTGATATATAACACTATTAATTTATACTTGAAAACAAAATCAATTTTTTAAACAGCATGTTAAAATTGATAAATGCTTTGGGGGTCGGGCGCTGGATGGAATGAACATAGCCTGAGACCATGTTGGTTTTGTTGGAAGAGGTTTGCATGGTTATCTGAGTGTTGTTATAACAAGCTGATAGTTTGAGGTGCTGTTACATTCGAGATTTTCACAGCTGTTATTACAATTACTTTTTTTTTATTTAGATAAACATTATTTACACCAAACATATATATTGCCCAATGGTGGAAAGTCATCTTATAATTTCACACGTACTCAAGAAAATTCTTTATACTTATGGATGTCGAATGTTGGGGACAGGAAGCCTGTTTGGTTCATCACGATCTCCCTAGCCAAGGGCCAGGCTGTCCGAGCGGTCACCCAATCTCTCACTAACCAGACCCAACGTGTTCAACTGACTGACCCACGATAGGGAAACTATTATACCATTCCCCAAAAATAAAATCTGGTCTACTGATATAATACGATTTTAATAATTTTCATAAACTTTGAATATATAGCTTCATCTAAATTAATATATTATTATACTTTGAATGCTTCGGTACATACCATTGTTTGGTACATAACTTTTCGAATATAGAGATACTGTACTAATAGGATACTGTGGCTAGGCTTGATTAGTGAAAAACAAAACGTTTAGGTTCAAAACCAGAATTTCATAAAATTTCTGCGTTTCTTTCTGTTTCCTTTCGCTTATTTTTTTCTTGTATCCTACATTTTACAACTTCCACTTTATAATCATTTGCTGTCTCAACGTCGATTTGTGAGGCGGCCTTACGAGCCATTTGCATTTGACTTTTTGGCACCATCACCAGTGTTTCCCTTGCACCATCATCTGTATTTCTCTGACACCATCATTTGTTTCTCTAACACCACAATTTGCGTTCCTCTAGCAATAGTATCTGTGTTTATCTGGCACTATCACCAGAGCTTTCCCTGGCATCATCTGTTTCCCCTGGCATCACCGTCTCTGTTTCCCTGCCACCAGCATGTCTCATTTTTCCTTGGCTCCATCATCTGTGTTTCCCCCTGACACGATCATCATCTCATCTCTTTCATCAGCCTTCCCTTCCTCCTCCTCCTCCTCCTCCTCCTCCAGCCTTTCGCTCCTCGGCAGTCATAAAGGCTTCAGTTGGTACAAAGGAAAGCATTTTATCCTAGCCTAATTAGCCCCCACACAAATACCAATTAGAAGCGCCAATAAAAGAAAGCTTTGTGTTCACAACGAGAGAGGTTTTAAATCAGGCTAGACAGTGCACTAGGCTAACCCACACTTCTCGCTGCATGCTGTTTTGGCAGTTGCTCTGTCAATGATTTGGATTTAGGTCCATGTCAAATTAATGGAATTGGAAGAGCAGCCTGTTTAGTTGACACTTTGTCTGATTTGCAAAAAAATAAGTCCAAGAGTATTAGTGAGGTTCTGGCACATATATATATATATATATATATATATATATATATATATATATATATATATATATATATATATATATATATATATATATATATGTATGTATGTATACAAAATTACTTGCAACTGGCTCTAAGCCAGGCATCTTATACGGGTTACCTAAAGTTCATAAAACAGGTATACCGATTCGTCCTATTTTATCAGCGATTGGCACTTTTAATTATAAACAGGCAAAGTTTATGGTTCCATTATTAGAACCATTAACGCATAACGAATTTACTGTGAGAAATTCTCAGGATTTTGTAAAAGAACTTTCCTCTTTAAATTTTGAGTTCCCAACTATAATGGCCAGTTTCGATGTTGAATCACTTTTTACTAATATTCCTTTGTTGGAAACCATTGATATCTGTGTAAATTAATTATTTGCTGACACTAATTTAGTGTCTGGATTTTGTAGTAAAATATTCAGACGGCTGTTAGAAATAGCGGTTAAAGACTCCGTCTTTATGTTTAATAATAAATATTATAAACAAATTGATGGAGTAGCAAGGGGCCTCCTTTAGGTCCTGCACTGGCTAATGCTTTTTTGAGTTTTCATGAAATAAATTGGCTTGATAAATGTCCTTTGGCCTTTAAACCAGTCTTGTACAGAAGATATGTAGATGACACTTTTTTGTTATTTAAGGACCAATGTCATATTGAGAAATTTAGAGAGTATCTTAATGCACAACATAGTAATATACGTTTTACTGCAAAGTGGGAAGTAGATAATTCATTGTCGTTTCTTGATGTCAAAGTGAATAACCTTAATGGGTTCAACACTAATGTTTTTAGGAAACCAACTTTTACTGGTTTAGGTTTAAATTTTAATTCTTTTGTTCCTGATATTTTTAAGAAAAATGCAATTAACACTCTACTGAATAGGGCCTTTGTTTTATGTTCAAGTTGGAATAACTTTGATCAAGAAATTAATTTTCTTGTGAAATTTTTTTCAAATAATGGTTATCCTTTGCATATGGTTTATACCTTTATAAGGAATTTCATAAATAAGAAGTTTCACCCATCGTGTAGGAAGACTACAGTAGAAAGGGATCTTAAATATATTAAATTACCATTTTATGGCACTATTAGTTTTTTCTGTAAGGAGTCGTTTGAGGAGACTGTTGCAGCATTGTTATCCTCAAGTAGACTTTAGATTTATTTTTGTCAACACAAATACCATAGGCTCTTATTTTAAATTTAAGGATAGAGTGCCTACCCCCTTGTGCTCAAATGTCGTATATATGTATAATTGTTCCAGCTGTAATGCTGGATATATCGGGAGTTCCATTCGGAACTTTAAGATTAGGATACTTGAGCACCGGGGATTATCTTTTAGGACTGGATTACCATTGTCTAAACCAGCATTTTCGGAGATTAGAAACCATTGTTATGAGTTTGATCATTCTCTGCTGGAATCTGATATATATATATATATATATATATATATATATATATATATATATATATATATATATATATATGTCGTACCTAGTAGCCAGAACTCACTTCTCAGCCTACTATGCAAGGCCAAATTTGCCTAGTAAGCCAAGTTTTCATGAATTAATGTTTTTTCGACTACCTAACCTACCTAACCTAACCTAACCTATCTTTTTCGGCTACCTAACCTAACCTAACCTATAAAGATAGGTTAGGTTAGGTTAGGTAGGGTTGGTTAGGTTCGGTCATATATCTACGTTAATTTTAACTCCAATAAAAAAAATTGACCTCATACATAATGAAATGGGTAGCTTTATCATTTCAAAAGAAAAAAATTAGAGAAAATATATTAATTCAGGAAAACTTGGCTTATTAGGCAAATTTGGTCTTGCATATTAGGCTCAGAAGTGCGTTCTGGCTACTAGGTACGACATATATATATATATATATATATATATATATATATATATATATATATATATATATATATATATATATATGCAAACAAGCCTGAATGGTCCCCATTCAGGCTTGTTTGCAAAAATTAGTAAAAATATATTAATTCAAGAAAACTTGGCTTATTAGGCAAATCGGGCCTGCATAGTAAGCCGAGAAGTGCATTCTGGCTACTAGGTACGACATTATATATATATGTCGTACCTAGTAGCCAGAACGCACTTCTCAGCTACTATGCAAGGCCCGATTTGCCTAATAAGCCAAGTTTTCATGAATTAATATATTTTCTCAATTTTTTTTCTTATGAAATGATAAAGCTACCCATTTCATTATGTATGAGGTCAATTTTTTTTTATTAGAGCTAAAGTAAATGTAGATATATGACCGAACCTAACCAACCCTACCTAACCTAACCTAACCTATCTTTATAGGTTAGGTTAGGTTAGGTAGCCGAAAAAGTGTTAGGTTAGGTTAGGTTAGGTAGGTTAGGTAGTCGAAAAATATATTAATTCATGAAAACTTAGCTTATTAGGCAAATCGGGCCTTGCATAGTAGGCCGAGAAGTGCGTTCTGGCTACTAGGTACGATATATATATATATATATATATATATATATATATATATATATATATATATATATATATATATATATATATATATATATATATATATATATATATGACAAGCAAGGCAACCTGTCGTATCACCCTCCTGCCGCGGCCAAAAATGTTTCATTAACTAGTATATCACCCGGAAAGACGCAATAAAAAAATTCTAGGTTTAATTAGTACATAAATAGCAATAAAGGAGAGGAATATGAGCAGAATAAAGATATGGTTAAGTGTAGTAAATGGGTGGACCACGTCAGTCTCCGTGGGCTTGTCCTTTCTCTCTCTCTCTCTCTCTCGTCTCTCTCTCTCTCTCTCTCTCTCTCTCTCTCTCTCTCTCCCTCTTACTTGTCTAATATTAACGAAAACCATTTTTAAAAAGAAGTAGAGTATTGAGAATAACGTTAATATTTTTATTGTTCCCTGTTCTTTATTAATGTAAGCGGTCCGTGTTCGTATCTAAAACACATTATTACTCTCATTAGCGTGGCGCTCCCTATCTAGTTTCTGGGATTGTGGACATATGAGAGTCAAGATCACCCTAATCCAACGACTAACCTTTCCCAGGATGCAACCCACAACAGTTGACTAACTCCCAAGTACCTATTTATTGCTAGGCGATCAGAGGCATCATGAGTAAGGAAACGACTCGCCCTTCCCGCAAATCATACCCACCTAATTGTGAGCAGTCAGTCTTTAGCCCATATCCGTGAGAGTAGCATCAATCTTCAGAGAACGTTCACAACACCTAATCTATCTAATGCACCAGCGTCCGACACCAGATCTTCAGCAGTCAAAGCATCTGTGTCACTGATGCGGTAGAACTGATGTACTTGCATGCTGATTCACTACGAACACTAGCTAGTCAATATTTCCTCTCCCTGTAGAGTTATATTCGAAAGGTAAGTGCTTAATAGGGCAGGTTCCGCCATGTTGGGCCAACAGGTCGGGGGCCCTTCAAATGTAAACACTTGCAGCATTCTTAGCCTGCATTCCAAAAAAAATACAGCACAGGTGATATGTAATTATCGTGCAACTTAAAATGAAAACACATTTAAATGAGCCACTTAAACTTGGATGTAAGGTTAGCAAACAGGATAGGTTTAACGTTTATAACTATTCAAAGGATTCTCTACACTAGAATATTAGAGGATCGAATAGGCTTCCATAAAAATGTTAATGAGGAATAAGTTATAAATAACAGTGAAATTTCCAGGTAGTTAAAATGCAAGGTAGTTAAAATCCCTCTTTTAACTACCTTGCATTCACTTTGACCATAAAACATTACTGCCTTCTGCAGCCTGACAAGATGACCTTGTCTCCACAACTAACATGTTGTCCCTTCCCTCAGCTGGCCGTCCTCAGCCGCCGACTTCGTCAGAAGACGTCGTCTCAGGCGTCCCCCTCTGCGCAGTCCATCGGCTACTTCAAGTAAACGTTCGTCTTTGTCGCCGTCGCCGCCAGCAGCAGAGCCTTCCTTCCTTCTTCCCTTTTCCTCCCCTACAGAAAATGGACGTTCACTCTGAAATCCCCGTTCGACGATATGAAAACAAACGTAAGGTTTAATTATTGACGTCCATAGAACAACGAAGCGCGAGTTCTTGGATGACACTGAGGTAGAAAACGGAGCCTGATGTCGATGACCGCACCAAGGGTAAACGACGGCATCTTAGACCAAGACGCTGCAAGAAAACACTTCACATTTTTAATGGCGCTCAACAAACTAAAAGAGAGTACTGAAACAGTATCCCTCAGTTAGCTGATCTTACATAAACCTCTTCTCACCATTTTAAACTTATTTATTTTTGAATTCTTGCAAATGCTGGCAGGTGTAGCTTGCAGTAAGGACAATCATTGTTAAAAGGTTCCTTTAGTATGGTTCTGGTAACAGATACTCCACAACGCTGTAAGCATAGAAGGTGTAGATAAAACATTACTGATATTTATTTGGGGGTGGGGAGGGGGGGGGATTCTGATGCGCCTTATGTTCACTCGTTAAAGTTAGGGCCGCCTGGGATATGTATCATGTATTACACTTACACTCATCCTTATAACCTTTCTTCCCTCTAGGCTTCCTTGACCACTCTTTGCTCCTTTCTCCCTCAACCCTTATATGTCCCCCCCGCCCCCCTCTTCTCCTCCGTATAATCACCAGGGCTCTGTTTTCGTACAGAGGAATATTTCTCCTTTCTTTTTCTCCCTCCTTCCCTTCACCGCCTCCACTTCTTCGTTTTGTTACATCTTCCTCTCTCTCCCTCTCTCTCTCTCTCCCCCCTTCCCACTTCTCACCCCCACCCTACAGCCTAGCCTGGAGAGTTGAGTGCGCCGTGTGGTGCCAAGTCATGACAACCCACATCACCTGAAGGAATTGGTTGCCAGTATGATCGTCAGTTTGTGTGTGTACGGATTGGTGTACGTGCACACTCACCTAGCTGTTCCTGCAGGATCGACTTTCATCTCTTGGACCCCACCTTTCCACCCATCGGCTGTTGAATGCAAATACTATCGACCAAACTTTCTATCATATCTACATTTAAATTATTAATGAGGTTGGCTTCTAAAACTTCATTGTTTATTTCATTCCATATTCCTACTCTTACGCTGAAAATCTTTTCAGCCTCATCTGTTACAAGCTTCCACTTACGCCCCCGCAAGAAACTGTGTGCGTTTATGTGCGTGTGCGCGCGTGTGCGTGTGTGCGGGAGTGGGGGGAGGGGGGGGAGGGTAGATGCTTGCTCACCTGGGGGGAGTGTACTCACCTAATGTGCTTGCCAGGTGGAATTATGCTAGCCCCGCATTCAGAAAGTTCTTAGATTAATGCAAATACTCATTTCTCACGCCTTTATCATATTTACAATGTGTGTGCGTGTGCGTGTGCGGGGGCGGGGGCGAGAGTTTCCCAGAGGTGTGGTGTTGGGTGGGGAACAATGGCCGTCTGATCAACAATGACACTTGTCTGTCCTCCGTCTAAACTTCCTCATCCCAACCCCGCTGTTCTCAGTCCTCTCACACTTCCATCACTTCCTCCAATGTTCAGGAATGAATGGCTGGTTTATGACAATTCTTCGATAGATATGAATTCCGACCGACACTTGCCACTCTTCCTCTCCACCACGTTCATCACCGTATCTACCGCCATTATTTCCAGCCCTCTCCACCACCAGCAGCAGCAGCAGCAGCATCGCCGCTGTCACTACCCTCCTTCGCCTCTGTAGTTACTTTCCACCACCCACCACGTCTTGCTAATTTCTCCACTACAACTATACCACCGTCACTACTCTCATTCATGACCTCCCATTTCGCTGCCCCTCCTTCCTCCAATCATTATTACCTAAATGATGACAGGGTAACGTATATATATATATATATATATATATATATATATATATATATATATATATATATATATATATATATAGTTGGTTAAATACCCCAGAATTCCTACCTCTCTTTATGGCTTTAGTATAGCGTATATACAGCATGCAACTGCCACCTTGTTGGCCAGTGTTAGTCTCCTGGTGGGTTGAGTGTCTAAAAAGTTATAAACTTAGCTACTGGAATAGGGTAGTCTGTGCATTATATATATATATATATATATATATATATATATATATATATATATATATATATATATATATATATATATATATATATATATATATATATATATATATATATATATATATATATATATATTTTAGAACAACTTGCCGCAGTTATAGAAGCTTGAGCATGTCTTATCAAACACAAATTGCGCTAAAACTCAGTAATGCTGTTTTAAGTCGTAGTGGAGACCAGCTTTGAATGCTTTTCAACATATGGTTTATTTCCTACCAAATTTTACTTTTCGTTCAACCAAAACCAATTATTGATAAGTTAGCTCTATTGCATTACTAGAATGTGCTTAATAGCCTTGCTTTAACTTGCTCTATATAAGGAACATGTGCTTTATATCCTAACCAAATCAACGCTATTATTCTGACAACTTAATTTACATAATATTCAAAATTTAATTTAAATCTTAGTAAGAACTTGTTTTAGATTCTATTCATAGCCTGCTAGACATTCTAATGAAAACCTGCTTTATATAGTCGTCAAAAAATCCTTTATATAGTAGTCAAAACCTGCTTATATAGTAGTCAAAATCTACTTTATATAGTAGTCAAAACCTGCTTTATATAGTAGTCAAAACCTGCCTTATATAGTAGTCAAAACCTGCTTTTATATCCTAGTAAACTTACGGCGTGCCATATGACATACTCATCATACTAATGAAAGCTTATTGATGCCACATAACTCTTGACATGTCGACCAATCATATCTCATCCAAACATCACGCGATGCCTCCCTATCACCCACTACATCATCCTGGGTGGATCTGACTTTAATATCTGCTTTATAAACAAACTCAAAATTCGTATCTGTTATGCTAATGCGTCCTATTATTTTTTAAACAAAGGCCGCTCTGATTCTTATCCATAGCCTATATCGTTCTATGTTAGGGTTTGTTGTAAAAATAAACTAATATCGTAATATTCTTAATGGTGGTGATCATTTTGGTTATCGGTGAAGATAACAAAGTTATGGCAATAAAGTGATTGTAAACATTATAATTAAAAAATAATTTTATTTCGATTGGATAATTAATGTATTTCAAGATGGCACTGGAAATATTTCACACAAATGGATTTATTACCAAGAGTGACAATTATTATTGAAAAGTTAGATAGAAATTATTTCCGTTTAAGGTTAGAGGCTGATACAAGCAACAGATCTCTTTCATATATCCACGAAAATGGGAAAGGAATTTGTTGATGCGCTTTAATATAGAGGAGTGACTAGGCTTCCATAAGTATTAAATATTTATTTATCTGGAATTTATGCACTGTTGTAATTTGTCTAATATGTTTTCTGGATTTTAAATCATGATTTTAAGTTTTGTGGATTTCTTATTTGTCTCCGATGATTTTCTAAGAGTTTTTGGGTTTTCTGTAAAATTATTTTTATGTTTTTAGCACTTGGGTTTTTTCCAGTCCTGGATTTTCTAATAGTTTTTTGGGGGCTTTTAGGAAGTCATCTAAATTTTCTAATAGTCTTCTTTTGCTTTCAATAATTTTCTGAGATTTCTAATGCTATTCGGTGCTTTCTGATGGTTTCCTGAACTTTCCAATAAACTTGTTTTCTAAAAATCTTGTTTTTTTATTAGGTTTCTATGTCTTCTGAAAGTCTTCTAGGTTTGTTACAGATTTCTATGTTTACTAAGTCTTCTGGGTTTTAATACCACTGCTACTGACAGTCTCTCCCTGTTTCTCTTTGTACTCAACAGCGATTAGGTCACTGTAGGATTCAGATACATAATATAATGAAGGTTATACAGACAACAATAACTGTATATGTGGCTGTATTTTCAATGTATACCTGACATTGTATTAATAAATCTATCGTAATTTTGTGGTGAACTCAGTTGTATGATTTATCCTGTGGAATTGTGTTATTATTAGGGAGGGAGAACACCAATGCTATTGTTATTATGAGGAATAGCAACACAAAGGTCATTATTATTATTATTATGATGGACAGCAATGCCAAGTTTATTATTATGATCAACAGCAACTAAAAAAGACCACTGTTATTATGATGGACAGCTTCATGAATGCTATTAGCGTTATGGACAGCAACATAAAGGCTAATTTCATTATAATGAACAAATCCACAAGGGCCGTGACGAGGATTCGAACATACGTCCGAGATTATCCCAGATGCTGCCTTAATCGACTGAGCTACGACATGGTCAAAACAAAGAGTTGAAACTAGAAGTTGTACCTAACTTACTTGGATCCTGCAGCCTCTCCGAGACACAAACCAGGGTTTTACACAACTCCCCCATGCACTCGAGCTATGTTAATAGGCCGTTCTACCTCTTCGCCCTTACTTCATTACACACAGAAATCACAATAGCGTGATGCATAAAATGAACATATGCATCATAGCATATGAGAGAGAGAGGGTCTTTTTTGTTGCTCATCATCATCGCTACGACCCATGATTTGGCTCATCATCAACACTATAACCCCTATATATCATCAACACTATAACCCCTATATATATATATATATATATATATATATATATATATATATATATATATATATATATATATATATATATATATATATATATATATATATATATATATATATATATATTACCATGAGAGATACACACAGTACACAGCTAACTATAAAGCTAATTGTTAATCGGTCGAAAACCCGACCTGTGTAGGTGTAGTTACGCTAGACAGCCGGAGTGTCGAAAGAATACTTTCTATGTTTCACTAATAACTTACCTGCCACTCTGTAGTCGTCGCCTTCCCTCAGGGCGCCTTATTGCTTGACTGATCGGCAGGAATATTAGTCCAGTCTAGGGCACTGGGTACTGGACACTGGGTACTGGACACTGGGTACTAGGCACTGGGCACTGGGTACTGGACACTGGGTACTAGGCACTGGGTACTGGACACTGGGTACTAGGCACTGGGTACTAGGCACTGGGTACTGGACACTGAGCACTGGGTACTGAGCACTGGGCACTAGACACTGGGCACTGGACAATGGGTACTGGACACTGGGTACTGAGCACTGGGCACTAGACACTGGGCACTGGACAATGGGTACTGGACACTGGGTACTGAGCACTAGACACTGGACACTGAGATTTACAGTAAAACTTGATAGCAATGGCGGCGAGAAGCTAAATATGCCGGGTCCATTCAACAGCCATAAAACGCCTCCATCACACAGTTGTAACTTGGGACGAGTAACAGTAATGGAGGGCAAGGTTGCCCACAGAGAATAATCACTAGGAACAGAGGTGTTATAACGTGAGGGTCGAACTGTACACCTTGTGAGAGGATGGGTTGAGGGCCCCATGCACACACCCCGCCACCATGGCCGCCTGGCGGGCGCTGTCACACTTTTATTTATTTATTTATATACAAGAAGGTACTTTGGGGGTTAACAGAGAATATAGAAATTAAGTTGAATTTACATTCTTGTAAAGCCACTAGCACGCATAACGTTTCGGGCAAGTACTTCAACTAACAGAAAATTTTAGATAAATTAACAAAATTGTTTACATGTATTTTACAGCTTTTCTTTACTGGTAGAGATAATTTTAAGTAGAATAATTACAGTAAAATTGACAAAAAAGTTTACAGTTTTACATTAAAGAAATTTTGACACAAAAGCAGATGAGAATAATACACAATAAAGAAACAAGGATTACTAAAGAAATCAAGGATTACACTCATTGTCACGCTCCTTCTGGCGCTCACACACTCTTTATCTCTAAGTTTAAAGATCGATTATTTAGTTGTTTATCGTTAAATGATAATACCGCACTTCCACAGAATGACATGCGAAATTGATATATAAAATTTTCTACCGTAGCCTAGCTGATGGCTTGGATCTCGGGGATACAACACAGGAATTTATAAACAATAATTTGTTACACTCTTCTAACTTTTTTCCCCTGGATTTTATTATATGGAATGATGAACACGCCAATTAATTTTGCCGAAGATAAGAATAATTAAAATTGTTTTGTAAAATATTTTATAAGAGTTTGGTGATGTACAAAATGGACGTAATTATGTTAATTTGGGTTCTGTAGAAGAAGGTGGACGATGTACCGGATGCGCATGTAATATATTTGAACAATCTTCTCTCGTACATACAGCAATGAAGCGCGTCAATGATTGGGTAAGTACAACTCAAACCGAACTTGCAGGCATATACCTTGCCACTGAATTTTTAAAAGACAAAGGCAGTGGACTTATATGCTGTGACTCGCAGAGTGCACTCCTGGCACTGAATGCACATAGTAGTGACACCCAGAAAATAGTCAGTGATATTCGAATTAATGTTTTAGCTGCTAAAGAAAACAGATTTGAAATTAAATTCCTATGGATACCATCACATGTTGGCATCTCAAGGCATGACACTGTTGAAATGCTTGGAAAGACAGCCAGTAGAAATTGATATGGGTGTTTCGCTAGCAGTGACAAAGAGAATACTTAAACAAATATCTAATGAAAATCTCACCGACCTAACAAATTCACAAAGACCTGAAAGTTGCAGTATTAAATATTATGATAGATATCGTGAGGAGACATTCACATATGGGACTAATAGAACAAGAACCCGGCAATGTGATGTTATAGTGGCCAGAATACGCCTGGGATATAGACGCATCTGGTAGCTTTCTCAAAACCCAAATGTCGAGTACACAATGTGTCACCTTTTGAAAGAGAAAACATACACTCTCTTGAACATTATATTGTAGAATATCCCATATTGTCTGACTTTCGCCCTCCTGGGCTTAGGTATGCTGAACTCTGTAACTACTATATGAGTACTGGACACTTGATGATATATTGGACTTGTACCCTAGATTAACCATGTAATGTAACTATATAACCTGAGCTTGTAAAAGCATCTTAATCACCTTCAGTGGTTAAGTTCTTAATTGCACACTAGTTTCTCTTGTCAGCTATCTCACCCTGTCAGAGTAAAAGAGACAAATATGTGTATGCATGTGTGTGTGTATATATGCATGTATGTGTGTGTATGTATGTATGTGTGTGTGTGTGTGTGTATGTGTATAAAGTATAAAGCTGATCAGAATTACATTTCACCATGATAAATTCACATTAATGCATTCATAAATCTGTGTATCTATGTATTTACATATGTAGCTTAGCCTAACATTTTAAAATCAGTACGATCACCTTCTGTGGTTGTTCTATGTTTGAAAAATCTTTCACCCTGTCCATGGAGGACAGAAGAAAATGTATATATGCTAGTTAGCATTGTAAATGTGTGGCCACGTCTGTGATAGAAAATAATAATAACAAAAAAAAATACCATTAGGAGCCCTTGAGTACATTTAAGACCGGGGCTCCACACTCTTTAGAGGCTGCAGCCTAAGGGACTTCGCCAGTAGAATACCTGTAATTTGCATATTAGGGGTTTTGGGACTTTTGCGCTTAGTAAAGAACATCATTATGCGGCGAACTGGCAATACTGTCTATAGGAGGATACCAGTGGCAGCTGGGGGGCTGCTCATTGTCCTGTTAAGTAAGGTTAGTAGCCCATAGTTACTTTAGTTAGGCAGGGTGTTATTGTATGAGGCAGTCTTCCTATATTATAGTTGTAACTGTAGCCTCACCGTACCTGTAGCCCAGGGGCCTCACTGTACTTGTAGCCCAGGGGCCTCACGGTACATGTAGCCCAGGGGGCCTCACGGTACCTGTAGCCCAGGGCCCTCACAGTACCTGTAGCCCAGGGCCCTCACAGTACCTGTAGCCCAGGGGCCTCACTGTACTTATAGCCCAGGGGCCTCACGGTACCTGTAGCCCAGGGGGCCTCACGGTACCTGTAGCCCAGGGCCCTCACAGTACCAGTAGCCCAGGGCCCTCACAGTACCTGTAGCCCAGGGCCCTCACAGTACCAGTAGCCCAGGGCCCTCACAGTACCTGTAGCCCAGGGACCCTCACAGTACCTGTAACCCCGGGGCTCGCGTAGTTCTCGTACCAATGAATATGAATTCTCATATTTAATAATAATAAAGAAAATATATTTATTTAATAATCATTAAATAAATAAATTAATACAAACATTGGAATAATTCTCCACACCTGATATGGCTCATCATCAGTGCTAGAAGGCCTAATATGGCTCCTTACTGTGTGATCTCTGAAATAAAATTGGGCAATGAACAAAAGGGGCAATAATTATATCTTTATTACAAGATATTTCAAAATATCATAATAATTAATGTATACAAATATGATGTATGTATTAAATACTTTCTGAAGCTCCTCATATCAATATACAAATAATGGTGATTAACAATTTAAAAATAAATATTTTATAATAATCACTATAATATACAGTACTGTAGAAAAACATGTATAAAACAAAATAATTACATTTAATAATTATATACTGTACTTCAAAAAAGTCATTACAGTCAAGATTATGATACAACTTATAATGGTAGGTTACCAATATTATATATTTTATAATGACAAAGATTCAACTGCAGAATATATATATTACAATTATTAATAAATACTTTACGTAGCAAAAAGTGTATATATTTATAGAGAAATAATTTAAAATGGTTATCACTGTGAACTGAAGTTAAGTGTTCCAAATTGATATCTTATGTATCAATGACTTTTCTAATGTTTACATACAAGTGACCTGAAGTTCCTGTATCTGAACTTACTGTACTTACAACCACTGTAGTCACAACACCCTCATGTATTTGATGTTATGTTGAAATCTGTGCTATTGTATTTAACATACAATAGCACAGATCGTACCCTGTACAATCAGGGTACAATCAGTACATACAATAGCACCCTGTCAACAAAAGGTACTTTTTAATATATATATATATTCGCACTGTATTCTCGTATACTGACTGTCGTTATATGTATAAGTTATACAACCTCATGCTGCTTGTTTAGCATTACATAGTATGTTCAGGATCATACACACACACACATGCATTGTACATATACATGTTCAGAATCATACACATACCTGTATTCTTCATATACATGTTCAAAAAACATACATACACTTGCATCGCTCATCATACATGGTCATACACACACACCTGTATCTCCCCCAGAGGAACACTCAGACACCTCAACAACTCAAGACAGTCACAACACTAGACTAACACAACACAAACTATACAAACACATCAATAAGCTGTACAAACCAGACACAAAAAACACAGTAAACTAACAGCAACACTATACAAACAATCACAAACACAAACAAGATTCATACAGTCGCATAACCCCGAAAATACAACACATCGCTCGCAAACAATACAAACCGCAAAAAAATATACACAAATACACAATCTACACGTAACAACATATACAGAAACCCAAAAGCAGCACAAAAGTAAATTACTAAGAGCAAATACATGACTAAATCACTACACAAACAAACACACACACACAACACGACACAATACCCCAGAAACACCATCTTCTAAAACATGCTCAAATGCATCTTCAAGGATAAATATACATACATACATGTATACATGACTCTCACGTCCATGAAGGTCTACGGAAGCCTCCAGAAGTAGAGTGACTCTACTACATTCAATACAAGAAACTATGCAAACGAGATTATTTTAATGTGGAGACAAGCATTGCATTGTTACCTGGACCTTGCTAGTTAAGCTTTATCAGTAAATGGCTGGTTTTGGTCTGTGCTGCACTGAAGCACATAAGCTTGTAAGCTTGTTCGTGGCTCTTAAGCTATTTCTCTGTTCACCCTCCATATCTGTATTTTGTTCACAGGTGGGAACAGGAGTAGACAACTTATGACTCCTGTGAGCAGGCTTAGATAGTCCATGGTAAGCCTTACCCTACAACTTTCACACACAGGTAGGCAAAATATAGTTTCTGACTCCTGTTAGCAGGCTGAGAGCTTTCTTATAGCTCATGGCAAGCATTAGCATCCTAGTTTTCCCCTGGAACACGACCCGCCAATCGGTTTACAACCAGGACTCTATACCTCGTACAGGCCATAAGCTCTACTTCTTTATAGCAGGTACAACTTGCCTGGTTTTCTCCTCCCGATGACTAGTTGTTGTTTAAGGGGCAGGGCGGGAGTGGTGCCGGATGTGCCCCCGCGCTCCCTTGGAGGGTAAAACCCAACGTCTTGCAGCTGTAGTAACGTCGCCTTGCGGCTGATAAACACAATGGTAGGCAGATATTTAGGGATCCCGAGGAGTTTCCATGAAGGAGGCAGGCACCGGCCCCCACCCCTCACACAAGACATTGGGTAGTCAAAGTCGAGGCAGTAGGGCGATGGTTCCTCCTAAACTCATACTCAATTGCGCAAACGTTATCCTGTTCTCTTCGGTAGAACTAGAAAACCGGGGCGTGGTGGGCCAGCCGCCCACCACGCCCCAAGGGCACACCAGGAATCCAACAACTTCCGCTAATTCCTGGTATTTTTCGGCCAAGCCAGTGCCCGAGTCTCTCCGCCCCGAAGAACAAGCCAGAAAACTGAAAATCTGTCAACTTCTCTGTGACCTCAGGTGATAAATGCACCAGTCATCGTGACAATCTGGGCCGTTGAATAGGAATGTTTGACGGCAGTATTGAGATCTACAGTAATGGGTAAAATCACGTCACATGTTCCGGCGTCCCTAGGTAAAGCAGGGCTCCAGACGTCCGCCTGTCGTCAAGGTTGAAACAGTCGTCCTCCTGATGTCTGCAACAGTATTAATGTTGGGAGACACATGGAGTAAGTCAGTTACAGCCCCGCTCCTGTGCCAGGTAAGTCCACTACGGGCTCACCATATCCCGTGCTACTTGGAACTTTTGTTCCGAGTAGCTGAATCTAAAACAACAACAACAACATGGAGTAAGTCATCATCAAAAGAAGGCACCAAGCCGGGAAGGCTATGACACATAGAGGTGTATGTGTTGATGATTTGGTAAGGCATAAAGGCATTTTAGAGTTAGATATGATGCACTTGGCGGGGGGGGCTGGATGTTTTGTTGTCGTCAGCTGAGCGTTATTTTTTCTATGTTGCTAAGGTTACGTTTTCTTGGTTGTCCGGATGGTGTGTGAGCTTTATGTTCTAACCATAGAGGTGGTAGGCGCACCCTGGTCACAGGACCTGTGGGCGTGACCCTCCTAGCTAAAGAACCTGTGGGCGTGACCGCCCTCCACTAGCTGCTGCTCTCTGCGCTTCTCACGGTTCCTGTTATGGAGCAACTTGACGGAGGCGATGAAGGCGACGATGACCAGGATGATAACCGCCAGTACCACCAGCACCACCAGGCCGCTCAGAGCCTCCATCTTCTGCTCCTCCTGCGAGGAAGAGAGGCAGTTAGTGGTGGTTGACGAGTTTGGTAACGGGTTAAAGAGAAGACAACGGCAGTAACGGACAAGGAGAGAAGCAACGCGAATTAATGAGTTATTATTTTATGGCAAGTCTATTCTGTTTATATTATGTTGTTAATGACACTTGTTAAAATAATGTAAGAACCTGCCCTCCTATCCCCTCCCCCAGTCATGGGGCCTATCTTATTTTTTTCTGTAAGCCCCCCCCCCTTCTCATTTCTACTCCCCACCTCATTACCTACCACTGCCCCTCACATTCCTCCCCTCTCCTCCTTCCCAATAAACAAAAAACAATCGCAACAAAACAAGATAGTATACTTCGTAGTGTACTTGATCTACTCCTCTTTCTTATCCACATCAATTAGCAACCAAACGCCACGTAACAACACGTTAACGCTTAATGTGCCCGACTGCCCGTCACTATTACGCTTTGCGTAATAGTGGCTTTAGGCATTGTATGTACTAGCTCTATCTATAAATTCATCAATATTTGTATCACACCCTGTATGTAATTTACCTGAATAAACATTTAAATTTAAGGCAATTCTATTTGCTGGTGACACAACTTTCATTTTCTCAAATGCTAACCCACGTATTGTGAGTGAATGCTGAACTGAGAAACGCTGTGTTCAGTATTCACAATATGTTTAAGTTTTTACAAATGACCCGCACACACTCAGGTGTAGGTAATGGAGTTCTCCGCCAGAGTGTACGCGGGCAGTTTGTAAACACTTGGATTGGCTACTAGCTTGGTGCCTTAAGACTCCTAGTAGATTTGGGGAGATCCCAAGTTAAGTAACTTAAAGCATATCGTGGTCCAATGGGTTAAGGCACGCGTCTTGGGTGAGCCGTGACGCTGGTTCGATCCCCGTCTTGCTTTAGTGATTTCTCATATGTTAGTTGGTTTCTTGTTTCATATTAAGTATTACCCTTTTATACTTATAAATAATTTACCTAATTAAAGTTGCCCGAAACGTTGTTCGTATTAGTGGCTTTATGTGAATTACATTCATTGTGTACCTCTGAATACTTTTCTTCATCGTGTTTCCAATGTATTTGATATAAAGACAAATTATTATTATTATCCACCAAACAACCCCCCCCCCCCCGACTCCCAACGGAGAATAGTCATTTTCTAGTTGCTTAACAGGACCAACTTCGTTAATTAGGATTATTGCAAACTCTCAAAGATAAAACTTTAAGTGGAGAAAATTTGACTGCTTTCATTCTAAGTGATGTTGTAGAGCTTCGTCCTTTGTTTGAGAAATAATAAACCTTGGCGGTAAAGGAACTTTACATATAAAATAAAATTTTCTATCGACGCAAAGCCATAAATGAAGTCTGGAATGTAATGTCAATTTTTAATACCTGGTGGATGACTTTTTACCTTTGACCCGTCTCCAACAAGGTCTACAAGTTTCTGTGGGGTCCTCGACAAGTATTACACCCTCTTGTTTCAGACTTATAGACTTTGTTGAACAATCCACACACTAGAAAGTGAAGGGACGACGACGTTTCGGTCCGTCCTGGGACCATTCTCAAGTCGACTGAGAATGGTCCAGGACGGACCGAAACGTCGTCGTCCCTTCACTTTCTAGTGTGTGGTCTGGTCAACATATTTCAGCCACGTTATTGTGACTCCTCGTCTGCTTGTGGACTTTGACGCTATAATGGCTTCAGTTCGCTCTGAACCATTGGACTCTCAAGCCATATATTGTAAACTCCTGTCACAAGCCCTGCAGTTCCTTCCCTGGGCCCGTTAACTCATCTCACTGTGACTTGGGCACTCACCTGGATGTTCCTGGTGTACTTCTTGAGGGGAAAGTAAGCCGTGGCAATGTTGGACATATTACCGGAGTTACCCTTCTCATCCCGTGCTCTCAAGACAAAGAAAACGGCTTTTCCCTCCAGGTTGTCCACTGTCCGTCCGAGGATCTGTACAGTAAATAATTAAATAACATTTGAAAACTATATTTCTATATGTCACAATGTATTCAAGAGTCCCTAGATATTACCAGGAAAGGGAAAGCCTGCTAAAAGGAGTCAGAAGTCTGCTGATCTTGTACCCCAGTTTAGAATGAGAGAGAGAGAGAGAGAGAGAGAGAGAGAGAGAGAGAGAGAGAGAGAGAGAGAGAGAGAGAGAGAGAGAGAGAGAGAGAGAGAGAGGATATGACAAGTGGGCCTGAGAAGAGTTTGGCCGTAGGCTGGAATCTCATTTTAAACTTTTGTCAGCCAGTTGCTCAAAAGTTGACCAAATGACCTTTGATTATAAGTCTCGACCACCGAAAACGTCAAAAACGTTTTCTTGTATTATTTGTGTTTGTTATTATAAATATTTTATAATTGTTTTTACTGCAATAACAATAATAATAATGAAATGTACACCGGTACAGTAGACTATTAAGTTAGATAGGGATAGATTAAGTTTGGTTAGGCATAGATGGGTTAAGATAGGATAAAACCCCACGCTTATGTCTGTGTATTTTATGTAAAGATTTACACCAAGTCTTTGGCACTCTTGAGTGTTTTATCAAAGTCTGCGGATATGATCGAGACGAGACTTATATCTTAACGGCTCCAAGACGTTGAACTTTAAGCCTCGTTGTTGACCATGAACTCAGACCTTCAGACCTTCACAAAGCACTCTGGAGAGTGGGAAAGTCTTAGTGTAAATCTTTACATAAAATACACAAACATGCAATTGTTGGGTTTTTACCCTATATTCTTATGTCTGTGAGAAGACATTACCATTAATTACAGATAGATTAAGTTAGGTTAGGTTAAATTAGGCTAAGTTAGCTTAGGAGAAGATAGGTTATGTTAGGTTAAGAGTAGGTACATTAAGTTAGGTTAGGCGTAAGTAGGCTAAGTTAGTTTAGGTTTAGAATGGGAAAGATTCACTATAGCAATAGTGACGGTCTCACCAGCGCCATCTGTCCCTGCCAGCCAGCACTAGGGGTAACCTGAGACATCCAGCACAGCGGTGGACCCACCATCCATCTCTAACATTGCCGCCATCAGTATTCAATTTCTTTCCTTATTATGCACCCCATACCCATCCCGTGGGCGGTGGTGTAAAGGATTACAGAGGCACATAATCGGTTCAGGAACTGAACCCTCTAGTTCGTTTAACCATCGGTAGCCGGATAATTATTTGTAATGCTGCCATTATTTTGGTTATTACTGATAATTCCCTACTTTACTCCTCCAATCAATTCTAGTAAGCTGACCTTGAGAGTGATGTTGTGCTGCTCACCGGCCGGCCTCGGGGTCAGGTCACCAGAGGTCAAGTGGCTGGAGTTGACCGGATGACCCAGGTGGAAGTTGTTATGAAACCTCATTGTCTCATGGTAGCGGAGTTCCAAGGAGGAGGCTGTGAGGGGTGAGGAGAGAAGTAACTCATTAGCCAGGTTCCCCCTAAACAAACTGCATATGTAAAGGAAGAAATGTATATGTTTATCACTCAGAATGTTCGGTAATTTGTTTATTGTTTGCTATATATATATATATATATATATATATATATATATATATATATATATATATATATATATATATATATATATGTCGTACCTAATAGCCAGAACTCACTTCTCAGCCTACTATTCAAGGCCCGATTTGCCTAATAAGCCAAGTTTTCCTGAATTAATATATTTACTATAATTTTTTTCTTATGAAATGATAAAGCTACCCTTTTCTCTATGTATGAGGTCAATTTTTTTTTATTGGAGTTAAAATTAACGTAGATATATGACCGAACCTAACCAGCCCTACCTAACCTAACCTAACCTATATTTATAGGTAAGGTTAGGTTAGGTAGCCAAAAAAAGCTAGGTTAGGTTAGGTTAGGTAGGTTAGGTAGACGAAAAAACATTAATTCATGAAAACTTGGCTTATTAGGCAAATCGGGCCTTGAATAGTAGGCTGAGAAGTGCGTTCTGGCTATTAGGTACGACATATATATATATATATATATATATATATATATATATATATATATATATATATATATATATATATATATATATATATATAGTGTATATATATATATAATGTATAATATAATATACATTATATATATGTAAATCACGAAAATTAACACTTGATGAAAAATGTGACAGTGTCAGACCACGGAGGAAGAATTAAAACAGGAATTTCCTTAAGTACTTTCGTATATTAATACATCTTCAGAAGGAATGAATTATTTACAAGTCAAGTATTGGACAAATATATAGGCAGGAGAGACAGGTGAAGTGAGGTGAGGTTCAATGAAAAATGAATGGGAAATGATCTAAAGATTTGAAATGTAGAATTTCGCAACATAAATACTCTGTAAGACATGGCCAATTGTCTAATGCTTCGTTTGTTCATTTGTCAGAAAATGCTCACCAAATTGATTGGGAGATGGCTTCTTTAATAACGAATTGTAAAAGCACTTATAACAGGAACATAATTGAATCTGCTTTAATGCAGATTACAAAAGAATGTAATTTGAACATTAGCAGCGGTTTATATAACTTAAATTCATTTTGATAGATCAATTAAAGGGCGATTTGAGTAGGATCATTGATTCACATTTGTCTCACTAATTCATTGTAAATATTTACTATCTTATGCTATTATTATCCATGTGTGGGCCTATTATTGGGTATAAATAGGAGCTGCCTCGCATAGGCCAATAGGCCTTCTGCAGTTCTTATGCGGTTCTTATTTGAATCCACCTAATTCCCATTCATTTTTCATTGAACCTCACCTCACTTCACCTGTCTCTCCTGCCTATATATTTGTCCAATACTTGACTTGTAAATAATTCATTCCTTCTGAAGATGTATTAATATGGCCTCGTAGCCTGGTGGATAGCGCGCAGGACTCGTAATTCTGTGGCGCGGGTTCGATTCCCGCACGAGGCAGAAACAAATGGGCAAAGTTTCTTTCACCCTGAATGCCCCTGTTACCTAGCAGTAAATAGGTACCTGGGAGTTAGTCAGCTGTCACGGGCTGCTTCCTGGGGGTGGAGGCCTGGTCGAGGACCGGGCCGCGGGGACACTAAAGCCCCGAAATCATCTCAAGATAACCTCAAGAAGATATACGAAAGTACTTAAGGAAATTCCTGTTTCAATTCTTCCTCCGTGGTCCGACACTGTCATATTATATATATATATATATATATATATATATATATATATATATATATATATATATATATATATATATATATATATGCGAACAAGCCTGAATGGTCCCCAGGACAATATGCAACTGAAAACTCTCACCCCAGAAGTGACTCGAACCCATACTCCCAGGAGCAACGCAACTGGTATGTACAAGACGCCTTAATCCACTTGACCATCACGACCGGACATAATGAGGTGATAGCCGAGGCTATTTGAACCACCCCACCGCCGGCACTCGGATAGTAATCTTGGGCATAGCATTTTACCAAATCACCTCATTCTTTGGGGCACACGTGAGGAACACAAATCGCATTTGTGTTCCTCACGTGTGCCCCAAATAATGAGGTGATTTGGTAAAATGCTATGCCCAAGATTACTATCCGAGTGCCGGCGGTGGGGTGGTTCAAATAGCCTCGGCTATCACCTCATTATGTCCGGTCGTGATGGTCAAGTGGATTAAGGCGTCTTGTACATACCAGTTGCGTTGCTCCTGGGAGTATGGGTTCGAGTCACTTCTGGGGTGTGAGTTTTCAGTTATATATATATATATATATATATATATATATATATATATATATATATATATATATATATATATATATATATATATATATATATATATATATATATATATATATATATATATATATAGGGAGGAGTAGGGGGTGAAGAGCAGCGGGAGGGGAGTGGGTGGAGAGAACACGGAGATGGGAAAGAACAGGGAAAGAGGAGTGAACATGGAGAGTGGCGAATCAGGTAGTAGATGCTCTCACCTGTACCGGAGTAGAGGTCATCACCAGGGCTGGTCCAGGTGAGGGAGACGAGGGCGTCGTAGAGGTAGACATAGGAGACTGTGAGGTCCGTCACTCGACCCGGGGGCTGCTGGTCGCCCGGCTGGTAGTTGTGCACCTGCCGGACCACCACACACATTACTGCTGGTCAACATTCACGCTCACGCCATATTAGACACGCAGGTACGCACCAGCGTGATCACTCATGTCGTTTTGGATTATAAACATGTTCATATGGGATTAAATTGCCTTTGAGCGCCGCTCTACCATCACCCAATACGCATTTGTCTACTGCAGGTGTTGTGGGCGGTCGTGTACAAGAGTTGTCGGGTATATGGCCCACTAGCAAGGTGCCTTACTGCACGCAGAATTACTCTAGTTCTGGGTTGTCCCGTGACTCACCTCAGCACTCTAACAGCAAGCGCGTTTGTCTGAGTCTCGCCAGGATCAGCTGCTGTTGTCTATTGTTTCTAGCACATCTGTCAAGATGATGTCTTGCAGTAAGGGCAAATCTCTCACGGAGGATTTAAGTCATTCCTCAAGAAAGTCAACAATACCTAATACTGTACAACTTTTTAGTGACAATTCTCCTTAAAGAAATTGTTATTATTATCTCAGTTACTTAAAGAGCCATTGCTGCATTTGTTGTGGATATGAGGATATTGTATACTAGATGGTGACACGTGTTGTTAAGACACATAGAGAAACATGATGACCAAAGGACACTGGTGATCCATGCCAGAAACTGTTAAACATCAAACACCTGTCACGGGAAACTTTTTTGCTTGTATTGCCGTTCTCAGTAATGTATGTTAATACAGAGTGGCGGTGAACATGTGAACACAAGGCTCGTGTGTTCATGTGAGTTGCTTGTAGCTTGCTTATCCTCACTCAACGTCCTCAGCAGCGAGGGACTCTTGCTATAAAAGCGAGTCAACATTTTCATGAAAATAAACACTTGCGCATCAAATAAGCTGCGCTGATAAGACAAACCCACTCACAGAAACAAAGACACATCTGCAACAAAGAGAAGCATTAACAAAAACACAGCTGCCGACGAAGCCTTGATGACAACAACGAACAACTTAAACCAACAAAATACAATGACAACAACTTCTAGCATCAAGAACAAGAAGACCATCTGAGGACGAGGCGCACCTTGAAGATGCCCCCAGAGGTGAACCTGGTGAAGGGCTCCAGCGGCAGGCGTCGACTGGCGTTCCTCGAGGGCAAGGCTGGGTCCTCCAGGGGCACCAGCTGGCCCGGCGGGAAGTTGGACTCGGGCTCCGGCAGCATGACCGTCTGCGGCAGCGTCAACCGGCGGAGGGCCGAGGTGCCGGGGCGCTGGGGCGCCTCCGCCGACCCTGACGGAGTACCTGCAGCAGCAACGGAACCAACATTATGGTTTAAATAATTATATATTTTTTTTAATAACAGTTTAATTCAGTTCGTAAATTGTAAATCAAAGATAGTAATGTTTATATAGCAGTGGGTGGGGATGTTTATATAGCAATGGGTGGGGATGTTTATAGGAGTGTAGTAATAAGTGAAGATGTTTAGTGGTGAATGAATCAGTGAATGGGATATTTAGCAAGAATGAATTAGCTTGTAAGTTCATCAGTCGCTTAAACAGCGATAGGTAGAAATACGTAGAAGCTTGTGTATGAAGTGAATAAAGATGCGGGTGTGCAGCGCACCTTGGAGCCTGGCAGTGAGGTCGCTGGTAGAAACGATCGCTGAAAGGCTGTAGCGGCCGTTGCCGGAGTACTGTGTAAAGTAGGCGGAGTAGATACCGTCGCCAGCACGCACGTCCGCACCTGAGGGAAGAGGAGACGGGAGGGGGGGTTGAGGAGATGCTGAGGAGAGGAACTAGCTTGGAAGGAAAGACATGGAACGTTATAAATAGATTGAAAAACAAAATTGAAAAAAATCTCTGGTAAAGAAAACTATAATTTCAAATATTATCTGAGCAGATCCTTCTTGAAGGGGTGCAATGGAGCCTACTCTGGCCTGCCTATGACAGTCCCTTACCACCTATGTGTCATCCTGAAAAGTTGGGTGAGGCTATACCGAAGCGCCTGGCCTCCAACTTTTGACAAACACACAGACAGACATTATTTTTTATAGATACAGACAAGATGGGATACCCAGCGGTGCCCGGGTCGACCCAGTGTCCAGGTCAGTCGACCCGGCTCGACCCTTGGCACCAGTCCCCAAGAAAACAAATCCAAGTAAACGACGAGAAATAACGATAATAAATGGGAATGTAGACAGTATCCCTACATATGTCATCACATACCTTCTCTGTCTCTCTGTTTCTATCTGTCTCTATGACTCTGTGCCTTTCTTTGTTTCTCTCTCTCCATCTCTCTGTGTGTGTCTCTCTCTGCCTCTGCGTGTGTCTCTGTATCTCTCTGAGTCTCTGTATATATATCTCTGCCAGATGCTTTCTGTTTATTTATCTGCCGGTCTGTTACTTTGGCTGTCTGTCTGTGTATCTCTCTCACTCTCTTGGTACCTGCCTGTAGGCCACAAGGACATATTGGCGACGCGACACAGAAGTTAGTGTGTGAAGGGCTGATGCCTGGGAGGCAGCAGTAGTGTGGGTGTGGTGTGCGTGCCCTCTGTCGGGAGTACATATTATATGCTATTACACGCAAAGTACGATAGTGAATCATTTGAAATTTTGTGGACATCAGTAAGTAATGTTTGACATTATAGTAAGAAAAATAATGAAAGGAACAAAAACTGAGTCCAGTTAATATGATATGGCAGATTTAATGTACTCACCTAGTTGCGCTTGCAGGGGTTGAGCTCTAGCTCTTTGGTCCCACCTCTCAATCGTCAATCAACTGATGTACAGATTCCTGAGCTTACTGGGCTCTTTCATATCTACACCAATGTGTGGGGGGGGGGGTCCCAATGGCATCGTGTTAAGTGGCACTCATTTCACTGATGCCAAATTGTAGGCACATGCCCAGCAGCAATTACTGGTAAAAATTAGGCAAGTCTAGCATAAAGAATCTGACCTCCAACCTGGACAGACAGATATTCTAATATAGATTGTTCTAGGAATAGTTAACTCTCTCCTTATATTACGGTGCTGATCTCACTTGGCTAGCATGTATAAATATCAAGAGATATCAATGACCTCTGACATGTGTAGACTACTATACTCACCTACACCATTGTCCAAGAGCGGGAAGGAGATGGACTCTTCTTCGGTTGGCGGTACGATAACTGCAGTAACGTTGGCATCGAGCACCATGCTGTAGCCCTGGCTGACGTAGGCGTAGACCAGCGCTGGCTCCGGATACGTAATGTTGTTAGCTGACATCCAAGCCTTCACCCTGGGATAGGGAGGGGGTGCATGGGGTGTTACTAGAGGGGGGTGTTTGTAGGGGGGAGGGGAGTGTTACTGGTGAGGGGGAATCTTCGCTAGAACTTAAGGTTAAGGGCTTTAAAGCTTGTTAGGACCTAGAGGACCTTCTGAGTTTATGATAGCTTTTGCTTACAGCTTTCGCCAACACAAGGGAGGGTGTTCCATTCTCTCTCCGGAGTGATAAATGCGATAATAAATTTTGATCATAAATTTGGTAGGCGGTCGGGTTCTTATGAGGTTTAACTAGTCAGTGACAACGAACTACATACTGCCACTATATGTTTCACTGGGAGAATGTAGTTTTACCACTGCTACTATTACCAAGATCACTATACGCTGGGAGTCGACACTAGAAAATATTCGCATAGAAGTAATTACATTGGGTCCTGGAGAGGCTGCTGGGGACAATGACAAGTTACAGGAAGGAGCTACAAAGTGCAGTCAAGGCGCACAGGTTGCTCGGGAGTCTAGGTATGAGCATTGTGCAACACTGCCTGAGGAGTTCCCTGCTTGTGTACACAAGCAGGGAACATTGTTGATTGTGTACCAGCATATTTCCCTGCTGTACACCCCCCACCCTCCGCCACAAGGGCACCTCCTGCGCCTCCTACACAAAAAGGAACCACCAGATGGGAGGCTCCTGTTGCTTCGTCAGCAGAGGACAGAGATCTACCAGACCTGTTAGGTTCTTCAACTTGTACACCAGCAGAGAGAGATCTACCTGACAGGGTCTTGGCGGGTCTTCCTGTTGGGGTGGGAGGTGACAGCGACGACGACCTCGTCCCGGTGGGGCCAATGGTTCCGTGGGGTGTTGCTGATGATGTACTTCCAGCGCCCCGGCTGTCAGGGAGAAGTGAAGGCAGGGTTAACACAACACATCACACAAGTCCACCGTCAAAACACCCGCCGAATGTTCAAAACAAATATATGAAAGGCCAATTTGAATTAATATATTATCTCCAATGTAAGGGCTGCAGGATGCCCCATTCCCGTACATAATGACGTGATGTTATAACATCAACCTGTGTATACATTGATCATCATTATTGCAGGTATTACACGGCAAATCTTGCAAAAAACAAACTCCTAAATAGCACCTGCTTATCAGTTTACAATCAAAATGTTAGGTCACTTGGCAAACATTTTGATGATATAAATGCACTACTTACAGCACTAGGTACTAAATTATCTTTCATCATTTTAACAGAAACTTGGCTAAGTAATGACTATACCCAACTCTACAATTTAGCTGGTTATAAAGCCATTCATAACTGCAGGCCTAACAAAAAAGGTGGCAGTACAGCAATATATTACAAAGATACCTTCATTTGCAATAGTGTCATTAGTGATAGAGACGACTATTGTGAATATACCTTTGCCAAGTTCTCCAGTAAATCCCTTAAATCCTCCCTGATAATCGGTCCCATCTATAGATTTCCTAATACCAACATAGCTTCATTCTCAGACAATGTAAGGAATCTTATCATAAATAACAATCTCAACAAAAATCACATCATTCTGGGAGGTGATTTCAATATTGACCTGGGTCTTCAAAACAACCCTCAAGTTGACTATTTCCGTAACAGCATGCACTCCTGTATGCTAATCCCCACAATCACCAAGCCCACCCGAGTCACTCAAACATCTGCCACTACCCTGGATCACCTATGGACTAATATAACAGCTCCCCTTACATCTGGGGTAATTTATGACAGAACAACTGACCACTATCCTACTTTCCTCATAGCAAACATTGACACATCACCACCAGAAACCAAAAAACTTCCATTCAGGCTACATAGTGAATCAGCTTTAGGCAATCTCTCTAATGCACTTCACAATATTAACTGGGAATCTGAATTTAATAATTCACAGGATATAGAAAAAATAACCCGTGGCTCACAAGTGGCATAATTAAATCAATCAACAAAAAACATGAATACGAAAAGAAATTTAGGAGTGGCCTAATTTCAATGGAAGTAGTTAAAAGGTACTCATCAGTGCTTACCAGTATCATAAGAAAAGCAAAACTTTCATATTATGAGACTAGATTCAAAGAAGCAAAAGGCAACATGAAAAGCACATGGAATACCATCTCTAACATCCTGGGAACTAAACAACACTCCCACAACCAGATAACACTCTCTAAGGATGGCCTTACACTGTCATCTGACTTAGAAATGGCGAATGAATTTAATAGCTTCTTTTCATCGATTGGTGCTAACCTTGCAAGTAAAATCCCACAGACTCAGACACATATCTCTCAGGCAGCTATCCAAACTCTCTTCTCCTCTCACCAGTCAGCCCGTCAGATGTTGTGTCCATCATACACTCACTAAAAACCAAAGCTGGGAACATCAGTGAAATCCCATCCATTGTATACAAGAGCGCCTCCCATGCCCTTGCACCACCTATAGCTCTGCTGTTCAACAAATCCCTTGAGTGTCATACCTTCCCTGATATCCTTAAAAACGCAAGAGTAACGCCAGTTCATAAAGGAGGTAATCCGTCAGACATAAACAACTACAGACCAATATCGAACCTACCCATACTATCAAAAATATTTGAAAAAATTATCTACAAACAGCTCTACTCCTATCTCGTAAAATTCGACATTCTTAGCCCCTGTCAGTTTGGCTTCCGCTCTCAAAAGAGTACCAACGATGCAATTATTAGTCTCCTTGATATAATTTACTCTGCCCTTGACAAAAATGAGTTTCCAATTGGACTCTTCATTGACCTGAGAAAGGCCTTTGATACTGTTAATCACGATTACCTCTTATGTAAACTCCATCATTATGGAATCCGAGGCCATGCACTGGACTATATCCAATCCTATCTTAGTGATAGACACCAATGTGTAGCCATCAATAATATAATCTCTCCCATTCTACCAATAACCGTTGGAGTGCCTCAGGGCAGCATCTTGGGACCCCTACTATTTCTTATATACATTAATGATCTGCCTAATGTCTCTAACATTCTGAAACCTATTTTGTTTGCTGATGATACTACCCTCATTTACTCCAACCCCAACCCACATACACTAAATGATGTTGTTAATAATGAACTAAAAAAAGTCCACTTATGGATGTCAACCAACAAACTAACACTTAACATAGAAAAGACCTACTACATCCTATTTGGAAGCAAATCTACAAATGCAATTCAGCTTCAGATTGACAATGTAAACATTAGCAATAAAAATGATGGAAAGTTTCTTGGCATATTCCTAGACAAGAGACTCAACTTCAGTACCCACATACAACACATAACTAAGAAAGTCTCTAAAACAGTTGGTATACTCTCCAAAATCAGATATTATGTTCCTAACTCTGCTCTCATCTCTCTATATTATGCACTAATCTATCCCTATCTCAACTATGGTATCTGTGCATGGGGTTCAACCACTGCAAACCACCTCAAGTCCATCATCACCCAGCAAAAATCTGCTATCAGAATAATATCAAATTCTGCTTTCAGACAACACACAGCCCCCTTGTTTAACTCCCTAAACATGCTAAACATAATCTCACTCCACAAATTCTCTTGTGTCAACTACATTTACAAAACCCTATTCTTAAATGCAAATCCTTGTCTGAAACTCTTCCTGGACAGATGTAATAGGACCCATTATCACCACACCAGAAATAAATATCTCTTCGATATCCCCAGAGTTAAACTTAATTTGTGTAAACACTCTATGCAAATAAAGGGACCCAGTTTATGGAATTCACTCCCTACTGAATTGAAAAGCTGTCCAACTTTTACATCATTCAAAATCAATACTAAAAAGTACCTAATTTCATCTTCATAGTTTTTCTCTTTTTGCCTTAAAATTGCACTGTATCTATTGCTACCCAATCTCCCAACCTTTTTGTTCCCAATTTGAACATCTTTACCATTGAGATCATTGCTGTTTTCTTATATGTGCTGCCATTCTATTGTATGGTGTTTATAAATCTTGTTTATCTGTATCTTTTGCTACCCAGTCTCCCAATCTTTATGTACCCATTCTGAACATCTTTACCATTGTGATCATTGCTGTCTTATGTGCTGTCAATCTGCTGTATGGTGTCTATTAATCTTGTTTAAATTACTAATCAAGCTGTCAATGTAATCAATCAGAGCTTTAATATAACAATGTGCTTTAATATACTTACTTATCTCTCTCATCTCATTTTTCTCTTGTAATGTATCTTTCATTTATCAATTCTGATTTAACTTACCTACTTAAAATTATCTGCTAGATTAAGGACCTGCCCGAAACGCTGCGCGTACTAGTGACTTTACAAGAATGTAATTACTGTACTATCCAATGTATTCTCACAAACCCAATGTACCTTCTTGTATATATATAAATAAAATAAAATAAAAAATAAAATACGCGGGTGTCGTTGTCGATGTGGAAGAGTCTGGGGTCGCTGCTGGCCTGGAAGTCCTTGCCATCCGGCCCCCTCAGGCTCACCCAGATGGAGAACCTGGCCGGACGGGGGTAAGGCTTGGTCAGTGACGTGGGAGGTGTGGAGGGCAGGGTGGGAGGTGTGGAGGGCAGGGTGGGAGGTGTGGAGGGCCAGGTGGGAGGTGTGGAGGGCCAGGTGGGAGGTGTGGAGGGCCTGGTGGGAGGTGTGGAGGGCCTGGTGGGAGGTGTGGAGGGCCAGGTGGGAGGTGTGGAGGGCCAGGTGGGAGGTGTGGAGGGCAGGGTGGGAGGTGTGGAGGGCAGGGTGGGAGGTGTGGAGGGCAGGGTGGGAGGTGTGGAGGGCAGGGTGGGAGGTGTGGAGGGCAGGGTGGGAGGTGTGGAGGGCCAGGTGGGAGGTGTGGAGGGCCAGGTGGGAGGTGTGGAGGGCAGGTGGGAGGTGTGGAGGGCAGGGTGGGAGGTGTGGAGGGCAGGTGGGAGGTGTGGAGGGCCAGGTGGGAGGTGTGGAGGGCCAGGTGGGAGGTGTGGAGGGCAGGGTGGGAGGTGTGGAGGGCAGGGTGGGAGGTGTGGAGGGCAGGGTGGGAGGTGTGGAGGGCAGGGTGGGAGGTGTGGACAGACATCCTGACACTTGCACTTATTGCATTATTAGTAATATTGGAAGAGAGGGAAAGAGAGAGATGCAAAGGGGGAGAGGAAGGGAAGAGGGAGGATGTTAGCGAGAGAACATGAGAAAGGGAGGAGAGGGTGACTGGGAGGAGAAAGAGTAGATGTGGAAAGGGGGGGGGGAGAGGGGAGGAGGGGAACAAGAGGAGAGGAGAGGTGGTTAGCGAAGTCAGGTCACAGCCGAAACATTCCCAGTTCAATTCCCGCGACAGGACAGAGACGGTTTGGCACGCTTTTTCTTTCAACTGATGCTGCTGTTCACCTACCAATAAACAGGTTCACGGGAGTTGGGCAGCTGTTGCGGGTTGCGGCCTGGGGAAGATCAGTAGCCGACCTCGTGACACTTCGAGAGGCCACTCCCCGAAGAAAAAGGGAAGAGATAGAAAACGGAAAATCTTGATCGAAAGAGAGAGGGAAGACAACATTATTGGACACATGAACAACACAAGACACTCACTGGACACATGAACAACACAAGACACTCACTGGACACATGAACAACACAAGACACTCACTGGACACATGAACAACACAAGACACTCACTGGACACATGAACAACACAAGACACTCACTGGACACATGAACAACACAAGACACTCACTGGACACATGAACAACACAAGACACTCACTGGACACATGAACAACACAAGACACTCACTCGTTGTAGGGAACAATGCTCTCGGTGAAGGTAAACCTCGTCTCGTGGCCGAGGCTGGAGTCGAGGACCACCTCCCCCACCGCCTGCCCGCCCTTTTCCTCCACGTCGTGCGTCGTCCGGTACACCTGTCAACACACCATCAACACCTACACTCAGGCCCGGTACACAGGTAGGTGATGGGGCTGGGCACCTGTCAACACCTACACTCAGGCTCGGTACACAGGTAGGTGACGGCGCTGGGCACCTGTCAACACCTACACTCAGGCCCGGTACACAGGTAGGTGATGGGGCTGGACACCCGTCAACACCTACACTCAGGCCCGGTACACAGGTAGGTGACGGCGCTGGGCACCTGTCAACACCTACACTCAGGCCCGGTATACAGGTAGGTGATGGGGCTGGGCACCTGTCAACACCTACACTCAGGCCCGGTACACAGGTAGGTGATGGGGCTGGGCACCTGTCAACACCTACACTCAGGCCCGGTACACAGGTAGGTGATGGGGCTGGGCACCTGTCAACACCTACACTCAGGCTCGGTACACAGGTAGGTGACGGCGCTGGGCACCTGTCAACACCTACACTCAGGCCCGGTACACAGGTAGGTGATGGGGCTGGACACCCGTCAACACCTACACTCAGGCCCGGTACACAGGTAGGTGACGGCGCTGGGCACCTGTCAACACCTACACTCAGGCCCGGTACACAGGTAGGTGATGGGGCTGGGCACCTGTCAACACCTACACTCAGGCTCGGTACACAGGTAGGTGATGGCGCTGGGCACCTGTCAACACCTACACTCAGGCCCGGTACACAGGTAGGTGATGGGGCTGGGCACCTGTCAACACCTACACTCAGGCCCGGTACACAGGTAGGTGATGGGGCTGGACACCCGTCAACACCTACACTCAGGCCCGGTACACAGGTAGGTGATGGGGCTGGACACCCGTCAACACCTACACTCAGGCCCGGTACACAGGTAGGTGACGGCGCTGGACCCCCGTCAACCCTCAGCTTGTAGACATGAACGTTCAGCTAAACGTGAGCTCGTGGGCATAAATTATTCACCATTATTGAGAGGGACCCAAAGTGTAAATACGATTCGGCAAACAATACATCAAGAGTATGATCTCCGGCCTACCTGTAGGAGCTGGTCACCTCGCTGGTCGAGGTCCTTGGTGATGGAGTCGAAGAGGAGAGCGTCGAGGCTGGAGAGGGAGCCAGTGGAGCCCGTACTGTGGTAGTAGGATCGACCGCCCGTCTCCTTCGCCTGGTTGGAAGAGGGAAGAAGGTGAGTGGGTCTAACTATGCCTTCAAATAAACAAGAATAGTTCACCACACAGGTATGTATACACCAAGAGGTATATGTATACACCAAGAGGTATATATATACCCCACTTCTCGGTGTATATACACTGAGAAATTAGTCCCTGGACTATGTTCCTAAATAAGTATACTTGCTGGTTGGTATATTAGCTTTTGTATCACCTTACTAATTCTCGACGTCGATAGCTTTAATCCTAACACCAAACTCGGCCAAACAGAGAAGTTAATCACCGCTACAAGTGAGGAGGATAGTTACCCAGAGGTCATAAGAATCAGAGAAATGATATAAAACGGTCCACAGCTGTGAAATGCGAGGCCTCAAGAGCTAAAGGTCGACCCTATTGTCACATCTAGGTGAGGCCACATACCCACACCACACTGGCATCAATGTACACCTGTGCTAGTGTAACAAACTAGGCTGGTTGTAAGAATTATCCAGAGTGGTTCATCGACAAAAGAGAATGGGAAGCTGAGCCCGCGTGGTGACCCGGGACCTGACCCCAGGGGAATTCGCGGTGAAAATAATCGACGCCTTGTTCATAGCTGCGTATAATGAATCATCCTATAGTATTCAGTAAGTTAGAGAAATTAGCCTTTATTCATTTTGTATTAAAATTGTATTGTATAATATTACTGGGTACAATATCAAGAGTATTCTAATTATTGAGTTAAGTCACCATCAGTGACATCACGAATCAGATCTAAGTTGTAAGGCGGAGTGACCTGGCGGTCATAGGTCATCAGTGTTGACATGTCTACTATTTCTCAAAGTTTTAATAACCATTTTGGGGAACGGGAACAGCTCTGCCGTTAGATGCTTGTGTAATTTAATTTCAGTAAAATAATTCAACCAGTCTGGATCAATTCAGTACAAACAGAGGTTAATTGTTATAACTTAAACCTGGCTAAGTAACTGGGTAAGCGATGCGGAACAATACAATGCTCTAGTCTGGGGTAGACCAGACGAGGAGAGATCAGTGTGGACACCAGATCAACTGGGAGAGGTCAACCATCTTACCTCTCTCCCAAGACCAGCCCCCAACATCTAGAGCTGGTCGCCCAAGGTAGAGTTGCTTTATGAGTTTTTTTATAGGGATAGTCAACTCATTGCCATTCAGGTCAAGTAGGGAGTGTTAAAGTGACAGGGAGTGAACATATTTAGATTTTGTTTTAGTTTTTCTTTTAATAAATTAATTAGTTAATAATTTGCATTTTTATTATTTCCATGTGTATGTTCAAGATATGTGAACTTGTCCTGGTCACGTGGTCCACACGAGGCAGAGTTGGATTGGGCACCGATTCTAACATCGAGTCGGAATTCATCATTCCCGTGTAATTAATTCCACACTCTAAGGTTCCATTGGTTCATCGGTTACTAGTGGGGATCAAGCCCCAAGGTTGATTAATTAGCATGATCGATCCAGACCTCGATCATTGCTCTGTGTTACTGGTCTGGTGGTGGCGGCGGAGGCGACTCTAGGGTTTTGCTCAAAGCCTAGGTCACGTCATACTGGTTGTAAAATCCTAAGTCGGTCAATCGTCTTAGGACCACGTGGCGTGGAGTCGGCTTTAGTAAAAGTTTTGGAGCCCCTTGTAGAGAATAAAAAGTAAGAATACGGGTAGAGGGGGAGAAGAAGGAAAGATAAGTCGAGAAACCCCCTCCCCGTGTTACACTAGTCTAGTTTTTTTTTTTTATTATTATTATTATTTTCTACCACAAACGGGCCACACATTTACAATGCTAACCAGCACATATACATTTTCTTCTGCCCTCCATGGACAGGGTGAGAGATGTGTTAAACATATAGTTCAAGGGTTTATTGAACAATCAACCACAGAAGGCGATTCGGTGCTTTTAAAATGCTAAGCTAACCTACATACGTAAATACATAGATACACAGATTTACGTATGTCCTACATAAAGTGTTAGATGTGTCTTTTACATAGTGTCATTAATGTGCATTTACAAAGGTGAAATGTAATTCTGATCAGCTTCCATATGTATGTTGAAAGGTTCGAATCCACATCTGTCCTGACCCGTGGTTGTGTGTTTGTACTCACCTAATTGTGCTTGCGGGGGTTGAGCTCTGGCTCTTTGGTCCCGCCTCTCATCTGTCTATCAACTGGTAACTGTTGTACTCACCTATTTGTGCTTGCGGGGGTTGAGTTCTGGCTCTTTGGTCTCGCCTCTCATCTGTCTATCAACTGGTAACTGTTGTACTCACCTATTTGTGCTTGCGGGGGTTGAGCTCTGGCTCTTTGGTCCCGCCTCTCAACTGTCAATCAACTGGTGTACAGGTTCTTGAGCCTATTGGGCTCTATCATATCTACACTTGAAACTGTGTATGGAGTCAGCCTCCACCACATCACTGCCTAATGCATTCCACTTGTTAACTACTCTGACACTAAATTTTTTTTTAATATCTCTGTGGCTCATTTAGGCACTCAATTTCCATCTGTGTCCCCTAGTGAGTGTGCCCCTTGTGTTAAATAGCCTGTCTTTATCTACCCTATCAATTCCCTTGAGAATCTTGAATGTGGTGATCATGTCCCCCTAACTCTTCTGTCTTCCAGCGAAGTGAGGTTTAATTCTCGTAACCTCTCCTCGTAGCTCATACCTCTCAGCTCGGATACTAGTCTGGTGGCAACCTATGAACCTTTTCCAGTTTAGTCTTATGCTTGACTAGATATGGACTCCATGCTGGGGCTGCATACTCCAGGATTGGCATGACATATGGGGTATACAAAGTTCTGAATGATTCCTTACACAAGTTTCTGAATGCAGTTCTTATGTTGGCCAGCCTGGCATATGCCGCTGATGTTATTCTCTTGATATGGGCTGCAGGGCAGAGATCTGGCGTGATGTCAACCCCCAAGTCTTTTTCTCTCTATGGCTCTTGAAGAATTTCATCTCCCAGATGATACCTAATATGTGGCCTGCTCCCTACGCCTATCTTCATTACATTACATTTGCTTGGGTTAAACTCTAACAACCATTTGTTCGACCATTCGAGAAAATGAGAAAGGGAGGAGAGGGTGAGGGGGGGGGGGGGAGAAAAGAGTTTGTGTGCTTGTGTGTGTGTGTTTGTGTGCTTGTGTAACCTCCAAACCTCTAGCTCTGTAGGTTTAAGGGTCAAACCCTTCATAGTACTGAACACTCACACTCACAAGGATAACCAACTTACCAATATGACCAGTATATTGGAGAGCTTCAAGAATATTACTAATACTAGTAATAATAACTAATAAGAAGAAGAACAATAATTGCAGAAGGCTTATTGGCCTATACGAGGCAACTCTTTCTTATACTCAACACAGTGCAGCTATTTCCACGTCTGTTATGTTACATCTACATATATGTTACATTAAATATATGTAGTAGACATAGTAGAGGAAAAATATATTGGTTAGAAAGGCGGGGTCCAAGACCGAATAGCTCGATTCTGTAGATACAAATAGTAAATACACAAACACAGACACACACACATCCATATACACACACACACACACACACACACACACACACACACACACACACACACACACACACACACACACACACACACACCGAGACCCAAACTGAGGGATGGAGTTGCTCACCCAAAGTTCGAGAGAGTCTGTGGCGTTGGGCCCGAAGGAGACGGTGTTGATGATAATGCCCTTCTTCTTGATGGCCGGGAGCTTGGTCTCGACCTTGGGGTGCATGGTCTCGTCCCCGTCCGTGATCAGCACTACCATCAGACCTTTGCTGTTCGTCCTCGTGTCCTCCACCAGCTGACAGAGGAAGACTCGGCCACGTCACAGATTAACACATACTGATAATTCACTTGGAAGAAACGTTGTTACAATTAACCACATTTAACAAACGGTAACTGTCATGAGAAAGCGCTAAACCAGTATGACTATATAGCCCCTTGCAAGTTCAAACACTTGGTCCAACGGGGATTGAACGGCGACCACTCAACAGGAGAACCAGGGCAAGAACCCACCCACCTGCAGAATAAACTCGAGGGCACCACCAATGGCTGTGTAACCGCCGTCGGTGTAAGTGTTGGGGAGCTTACTGACGATGTAGTCCCGGTTCTCAGGCACCACCGTGAAGTTGAGGTCCAGCCGGGAGGTGTTGGCGAACGACACCACCGCCAGCAGACTCCCGGTGGGGACCAGGTCGCGCACGAACCTGAAGCACAGATGGACTTAGTCAGGGCAGTGAAAATGTGGTGTTAAGGGTCATGACTGGTGATGGTGAAAGTTGCAATTGTAGTGCGAGTAGTTAAGGGCAAGAGAGAAAGTGAAAGAGGCACAATGGGAGAGAGACAGATAAACAGACAGAGAATGGGAGAGGGAGAGAGGTAGAGAAACGGCGAAATATGAGAGAAAAGTAGCATAGTTTTCTATAACTAATGCTACATCAATCTTAAGGTTTGCATTCATCAGAGAGAACATTATTCCAGTGCTTGATAACAAAGAAGCCATATCCCATGTTTATAATGAATCTATCTTCCCAAATGTTCATACTTGCATCCCAAGTAGTTAATTTTGCTTGAGCATGTTGAAAATCTTCAGTTACTTATAGGTTGGGATTAGGTGTGCTAGTGGTCTGCTACGTTTTTTTTTAAGAAATAAAAGGCTATATTCTCTCAGCATTGCTTTGAGGTCATTATTATCATGGTCAGTTATCATGCTCCATCATTTAAATTTACCCTTCATCTCCTTCATCACCAGATAAATCATTCCAATGAATTTTTAGGTTATTCAAATGGCCTATAGGATTACCGTGTTGTCTGTATACGTTATTGGATTTGACCAGAGAGGAGGACCTCGTGCCCCTGGCTTGGTTTAAGTGGGCTCGACACAGTTTCAAACCTCTTTTTAGTTTTAGTGTTAAAAATACATATCAGAGAGCGAGAAAGAATGAAAGCGTTAAGAAACTTGTCATAACAGAGCAAATATCAATTGTTGGTTTAAATTTAACATTGTAAGAAAGAAAATGTATATCTCTACATATTTTCCACTAAAGCTCTTTCCCCCCCTCCTTGCCCAACCACTTGGGGTGGACGGTAGAGCGACGGTTTCTCTTCATGCAGGTCGGTGTTCAGTCCCCGACCGTCCAAGTGGTTTGGCACCTTTCCTTCCACCCGTCCCATCCCAAATCCTTATCCTGACCCCTTCCCAGTGCTACATAGTCTAAATGGCTTGGCGCTTTCTCCTGATAATTCCCTTCCCTTCATCTCCCCCCCTCCCCTCCTCCCTTGGTCTTAATTCTGTGTTTTGTTTTGAATTCTTGTCAAGTTCCAGAGCCAGGACCTGCAGATCCGAAGAGAGCTTCAGTCAGCGTCCCTGAGGACCTACCTGACGACGGCCTGATAGAGCTGGTTCATGAACTGGTCCATGGAGCCCGATAGGTCCAGAAGCAGCACAAAACGAGGCTTTTCCTTGGCTTCCTCTTGTATCACCTGGAACTTGGGCATTAAGTCCTCGTCAGCGTCCCGTTTCTGTCTAGACGGGTTCCTGTAAGGAGGACATCTGTGAATGCAGTTGGCAAGTATGTCACCCTAATCAAACCTTATTATTAAACCTTTACTTTTTGTAAACATATTATAAACAATTTACGACCTGTGAATACTACAAAATATTGAATAAGAACCGTATGTTGCATATATAAGGTATCTTTACCTTCTATAACAATCGGTAAAAGATTCTTCCGGAGCCTTCTTGTGGAAAATTTTATGCAGCATTCGTCCACACGATCTCGTAGACCAATATCAACAAAAGGCTCCACCGTACATACAGACTCCTTTAGAAAGCATGTCTTGTTGAAGAATAGTAGAGGGATCTTTCCCTAAAGACCCAGTGAGTAATAAAACTCCGAAAAGACCCTTCAATATTTTCCTCAGGAGGAAAATATTGTTCTTCGCCTCACTGGTTCTTCACCTCGCCAGACGAGGTGAAGAACCAGCGCCCAAGATAAGCATTAGCTGGAAGACCCGACAGTAACGACTGACACCACCACCTCGAGAAGACTCTCCGGAAGGAGCGGCTAAGATGGAAGCCACAAGGAACCAACACCGAGAGACAAAACCCACATTGAGCTTGTAGGAAGAAGTCAAAGTCACAACAATTCAGTAAGAGGGAATCTAGGAATCACAGGAGGTCTGCAGGATGAGAACCAACACCAAGGAAGCACCTACACAAAGAACCACAAGGACCCCAAAGATTATCAACACATTCCGAGATAAATAATTAAAGGAACAACACACTCTTCGGGAAAGAACAGGAAATTAGAAAAAAAGAGAACATTGCAAATCCGGCAGAAATGGTCCCCTGTGAGCGTTCCTGTTGCAGCAGCAGTAACAACCGTACACTTGCAGCAGTACCCAGTAACTACTCACGCGCCGTCTCTGAAGTCCTTGTGCAGGGTGATGATCTCCCACACCGAGCGACCGTCACACTGAAGATTCTGAGCGTTAGGGGCGTACGGGTTGTGGGACATCGGGTCGTTATCACAAAACATCTTCACCTGGTGGCCAGAAATATAAAATAAACACAAAAATTTGACTGACATAGGCGAGCCAAGAGGCGGGAGGAGAGTCGTAGGGTTCTTAATGTGTCTGTGGGGGGGGGGGGAGGAGGTTAATAGGATGATGCATGAATGGAACCAAATATTAATCGTACTGGAGGGAGGGCGGGTCAAAGGGAGTTAAGAGAATGTCGAAACGGCAAAAAAAGTAAGTGAAACGCAGGTGGGGGTACAAATGTTCCGGGTACAATAACTATGAGGCGAGGTCCAGGAGCTAGTTCTCGCTCTACAAGATACAGGCAGTTAAGCAACCCGTCCTCATCAACACTGCAACCTGTCCTCAGACCTGGTTGCAGCGATCCACTCCCAAGACGCATTCATCAATTTTAACGTACTCTGTACTAAAAATTGGTTTGTTTCTATATATAAATTGATATTAATATACATTAAAGTTGTGTGTATAGTGAGGCGTAGGTTAGGTTAGGTGTTTAGGTTCTGTTGGCGATTATTTGTATTTGTAGTACGTGGGCGAAGCATTTACAGCGTTGTGGTTCGAACAAAATTCGTCAGTGAAGCACTTGTTTCGGATATGTTCGAACGTCAGCAGTTGTGAGTCGTGTGTAAACCGCTTTTCATTCATAAACAGGGGGTTTGGCGGGTGCATGGAATCACTTTTGGATCTTTGTTTGGAGGACGGGCTGATTTACAGCGTTGTGGTTCGAAGAAAATTCGTCAGTGAAGCATTTGTTCCGGAAGTGTTCGGACGTCATCAGTTGTGAGTCGTGTGTAAACCGCTTTTCATTCATAAACACCTGGGGGTTTGGCGGGTGCATGGAATGGACTTTGGGTCTTTGTTTAGAGGACAGGCTGATTTATGAATGAAAAGCGGTTTACACACGACTCACAACTAATGACGTCCGAATACTTCCGGAACAAATGCTTCGCTTGCGTCCTTTGTTCGAACCACAATTCTATAAATGCTTCACTCACGTACTACAAATACAAATAATCGACAACAGAACCTAAACACCTAACCTAACCTATGCCTATATGTGCATAGTATGCTAATCTATAACAATATTAATTTATATTTGAGAAAATTCTTATTTTTAACTATTTTGAATGACTAGCGTGTTAAAATTGCCGAATGGATCTTTGGGGTAGGTCGCTGGAAGGAATGAACATAGCCTGGGGACGGATTGGTTTAAGTAAGCACACTCCAGGACTTGGAATACTAATGGACCCCAGGACAAAGGCACAGGGCTACACACCCCAGGACACAAGGATACACACACCAGGACACACTGATACACACACCAGGACACAGATACACATCCCAGGACACAGGCGCTACACACCCAAGGACTACACAACCCGGGGCACATGGCTACACACACCCCAGGACTACACATACCAGGACCCATAACACGGGGCTACATGCACACCCTCACCCTAGGACACGAGGGGCTACACACATGCCAGGACACAGGGTTACACCCCCCCCCCCCCCGAGGACACAGGGATACTCACAGAGTCGAGGAAGTAGAGATACATAAGGGAAGCGGTGGCGTTGTTGAGGTGGTCTGCGGGAAAGAAGTGACACTCCGAGTTTGGCATGCCAGAGATGTCTGCGTGGCACTCTGACCCGTCTGTCTTCCTCAGCCAGCCCTTGATGCTGTCTGTACAACCCGTCGCATGTACCTGTCCACGAGACGGGCCTTGTACTGAATGTGGTGTATGGAGGTGGTGTGTGTGTATAGTGCTGGTGTATATATAATATACACTAGCTAAAATACACTTTATTTAGAACGAGTAAATACCCCGGTATGTTAGTATGGTCTTTCTTGTAGATATGTTATTGAATACTGAAATATAAATATAACCAAGATGGATGAGGTAGGAAGGTGTCGCTTGAGCCAATTGGCGTTTTGTTTCCTTAATGCTGATGTTCATGGGGGAGTGTGTGTGATGCCTTGCTCTTCAGGGGGGTAGAGTGCACCTGAGAGTGAGCTGGCCGAGTTGTCTTGCAGTCAAGACGAGTAAATGGAAAGTTCTGGAGACAGATAGAGAAAGACTACCATCTTGGCTATGGGATTTTTGCTATTAATGTCTTGAAGGGCTTTGACAACCATCTTTGTTAAGAGGAAGAAAAAAGGGTTATGGTGTATTACAAGAGAGACATACGAGTGAGGGAGGCTGGTGGCATCAAAGGAAGATTGGAAGGAACCAAACTGCCGAAAGTGTTGCCTGCCAGTGCAAGATGCAGCTCCAGCGCCGCCAGGAGTACACGCGGAGGAAAAAGAAGACTAATAAACGTTAATAAATATGTTTAGCAAGACAAGAAAGACATGTTCTCAGAGTTAGAAGATAACATCTTACCAAACACCTTTACCTTAATGACGTAGTGTATAGACGTGTGACGACACAGTTACCAGCGTTATTGGCAGAAATATAAAGATAATGATTACTAAAAGGAGCAAGCGGCCAGCCTCCCCCCTACCCTCCCTCCCGCCTAGAACCCTCCCCCGTGCCCACCCTCCCGCCTAGAACCCTCCCCCGTGCCCACCCTCCCGCCTCGAACCCTCCCCCGTGCCCACCCTCCCGCCTAGAACCCTCCCCCGTGCCCACCCTCCCGCCTAGAACCCTCCCCCGTGCCCACCCTCCCGCCTAGAACCCTCCCCCGTGCCCACCCTCCCGCCTAGAACCCTCCCCCGTGCCCACCCTCCCGCCTAGAACCCTCCCCGTGCCCACCCTCCCGCCTAGAACCCTCCCCCGTGCCCACCCTCCCGCCTAGAGCCCTCCCCCCTGCCCACCCTCCCGCCTAGAACCCTCCCCCCTGCCCACCCTCCCGCCTAGAACCCTCCCCCCTGCCCACCCTCCCGCCTAGAACCCTCCCCCCTGCCCACCCTCCCGCCTAGAACCCTCCCCTTTGCCCACCCTCCCGCCTAGAACCCTCCCCCCTGCCCACCCTCCCGCCTAGAACCCTCCCCCCTGCCCACCCTCCCGCCTAGAACCCTCCCCCCTGCCCACCCTCCCGCCTAGAACCCTCCCCCCTGCCCACCCTCCCGCCTAGAACCCTCCCCCCTGCCCACCCTCCCGCCTAGAACCCTCCCCCCTGCCCACCCTCCCGCCTAGAACCCTCCCCCCTGCCCACCCTCCCGCCTAGAACCCTCCCCCCTGCCCACCCTCCCACCTAGAACCCTCCCCCGTGCCCACCCTCCCGCCTAGAACCCTCCCCCGTGCCCACCCTCCCGCCTAGAACCCTCCCCCCTGCCCACCCTCCCGCCTAGAACCCTCCCCCGTGCCCACCCTCCCGCCTAGAACCCTCCCCCCTGCCCACCCTCCCGCCTAGAACCCTCCCCCCTGCCCACCCTCCCGCCTAGAACCCTCCCCCGTGCCCACCCTCCCGCCTAGAACCCTCCCCCGTGCCCACCCTCCCGCCTAGAACCCTCCCCCCTGCCCACCCTCCCGCCTAGAACCCTCCCCCGTGCCCACCCTCCCGCCTAGAACCCTCCCCCCTGCCCACCCTCCCGCCTAGAACCCTCCCCCGTGCCCACCCTCCCGCCTAGAACCCTCCCCCCTGCCCACCCTCCCGCCTAGAACCCTCCCCCCTGCCCACCCTCCCGCCTAGAACCCTCCCCCGTGCCCACCCTCCCGCCTAGAACCCTCCCCCGTGCCCACCCTCCCGCCTAGAACCCTCCCCCCTGCCCACCCTCCCGCCTAGAACCCTCCCCCCTGCCCACCCTCCCGCCTAGAACCCTCCCCCCTGCCCACCCTCCCGCCTAGAACCCTCCCCCTGCCCACCCTCCCGCCTAGAACCCTCCCCCCTGCCCACCCTCCCGCCTAGAACCCTCCCCCAGAGCCCAGCGCTCACCTGCATGTCCTCGCCGATGTAGAAGGCGGGAGTGATGGTGCCGTGTTCACCATACTCGTCAAACACCCCCCAGCGGAGATGAGCCCACTCGTGCACCAGCACCTTCCCTGTGGGTACACCAGGTCATACTTCAGGTCACGACCAAGGTCACGCCCAAGGTCACGCCCAGGGTCACGCCCAGGGGTCACGCCCAGGGGTCACGCCCCGGGTCACGCCCAGGGGTCACGCCCAGGGGTCACCCCCTCATACCATATCCCCAAGTCACATTGTAACGCCATAAATGTAATACATGAAACAAGGTATAGTATGGCAGTATGAGAGTGTGGGAGGAATGAGACAAAAAATAAGGCGTTGTAACAATAATATAAGAATATGGGACGATGTATTACACACTAATCTGGACACACACACACATATTTACAACCAAATATCCCTGTAGCGTAGACCAGAGCTCATCATAACCCGTACACCAGGGGTTATTATTGTTTAAAACAATAATAACCTTTGGGTTGTGGAGTTTGTAGTGCTCAGAAGGTCAAAACTCTTTAATAAATGTAAACAAACTGCCATAATTCTTGAAAGATGCTCAGGTTCACTTCAAGGGATTGAGTCACTGAACATTAAGTCAATAGTATTGCATCTCCGTCAACTCTCAGTACTCACCATAACCGAGTCTTCACTCTAAAACAGTAATACAGGAATATCCAATATGGTCCAAGTGGTGAGCTTCAGTCCTTCCCTTCCTCACCTCTCAGATTAGTGTTCTCATATATATATATATATATATATATATATATATATATATATATATATATATATATATATATATATATATATATATATATATATATATATATATTTACCTTATATACACACATCATTTATGTGTAACATATTGGAAACCTTAATGAATCCGGGACTTGTTGTAATGATTGTGACATTCTGGGGCACTGTGCTTGTACCTCTCAGGTACACCGTAATTGTGACACCCTGAGGCACTGTGCTTGTACCTCTCAGGTACACCGTAATTGTGACACCCTGAGGCACTGTGCTTGTGACACAATAAGGTTCTGTGATTGTGACAGTACCCTGTGGCACGGTGATTGTGACAGTACCCTGTGGCACGGTGATTGTGATATCGTGAGCAGTGTTGTGACGACACTCACCTGGGGGGCCGTAGGTGTGCTGTAGGGCGGAGTACATGGAGGCGGCGTAGGTCGGGGACAAGTGGACGTAGGCGCCGGGCTCGCCGCAGCCCCCCAGCTGCAGGGTGTAGGGGTCGTCGGCGTGGATCGGGTGAGGCAGGTCCACCCGCACGTCCGCCCCGCTCACATACCCGGACCCTTGGGTCTTCTGCTCAACACCAACACAACACCGGGTTAACGTGAGCGGTACACGTTGAGAACATGAGGTGAATATGAGCAGAACATGGTGTGAATATGAGCAGAACATGGTGTGAATATGAGCAGAACATGGTGTGAATATGAACAGAACATGGTGTGAATATGAGCAGAACATGGTGTGAATATGAACAGAACATGGGGTGAATATGAGCAGAACATGGGGTGAATATGAGCAGAACATGAGGTGAATATGAACAGAACATGGTGTGAATATGAGCAGAACATGGGGTGAATATGAACAGAACATAGGGTGAATTTGAGCAGAACATGAGGTGAATATGAGCAGAACATGAGGTGAATATGAACAGAACATGGGGTGAATATGAACAGAACATGAGGTGAATATGAACAGAACATGGGGTGAATATGAGCAGAACATGGGGTGAATATGAGCAGAACATGGTGTGAATATGAACAGAACATGGTGTGAATATGAACAGAACATGGTGTGAATATGAGCAGAACATGGTGTGAATATGAACAGAACATAGGGTGAATTTGAGCAGAACATGAGGTGAATATGAGCAGAACATGAGGTGAATATGAACAGAACATGGGGTGAATGTGAGATGAACATGATGTGAACATGAGCAAAACATCATGAGACATCTGGCTAACATGGGGGAAGGATGAATACATCAATATACCTTTGAGATGTGTTTCACAACCTCGATAAACCTACATGAGCTTGGAAGGTTGATACAAGGCAGGACACGAACACTTGGAAGGTTGATACAAGGCAGGACACGAACACTTGGAAGGTTGATACAAGGCGGGACACGAACACTTGGAAGGTTGATACAAGGCAGGACACGAACACTTGGAAGGTTGATACAAGGCGGGACACGAACACTTGGAAGGTTGATACAAGGCAGGACACGAACACTTGGAAGGGTGATACAAGGCAGGACACGAACACTTGGAAGGGTGATACAAGGCAGGACACAAGGCAGGACACGAACACTTGGAAGGGTGGCAGGACACGAACACTTGGAAGGGTGATACAAGGCAGGACACGAACACTTGGAAGGTTGATACAAGGCAGGACACGAACACTTGGAAGGTTGATACAAGGCAGGACACGAACACTTGGAAGGTTGATACAAGGCGGGACACGAACACTTGGAAGGGTGATACAAGGCAGGACACGAACACTTGGAAGGTTGATACAAGGCAGGACACGAACACTTGGAAGGTTGATACAAGGCGGGACACGAACACTTGGAAGGGTGATACAAGGCAGGACACGAACACTTGGAAGGGTGATACAAGGCAGGACACGAACACTTGGAAGGTTGATACAAGGCAGGACACGAACACTTGGAAGGTTGATACAAGGCAGGACACGAACACTTGGAAGGTTGATACAAGGCGGGACACGAACACTTGGAAGGGTGATACAAGGCAGGACACGAACACTTGGAAGGGTGATACAAGGCGGGACACGAACACTTGGAAGGTTGATACAAGGCAGGACACGAACACTTGGAAGGGTGATACAAGGCAGGACACGAACACTTGGAAGGTTGATACAAGGCAGGACACGAACACTTGGAAGGGTGATACAAGGCAGGACACGAACACTTGGAAGGTTGATACAAGGCAGGACACGAACACTTGGAAGGTTGATACAAGGCGGGACACGAACACTTGGAAGGTTGATACAAGGCGGGACACGAACACTTGGAAGGTTGATACAAGGCAGGACACGAACACTTGGAAGGTTGATACAAGGCAGGACACGAACACTTGGAAGGTTGATACAAGGCGGGACACGAACACTTGGAAGGGTGATACAAGGCAGGACACGAACACTTGGAAGGGTGATACAAGGCGGGACACGAACACTTGGAAGGTTGATACAAGGCAGGACACGAACACTTGGAAGGGTGATACAAGGCAGGACACGAACACTTGGAAGGTTGATACAAGGCAGGACACGAACACTTGGAAGGGTGATACAAGGCAGGACACGAACACTTGGAAGGTTGATACAAGGCAGGACACGAACACTTGGAAGGTTGATACAAGGCGGGACACGAACACTTGGAAGGTTGATACAAGGCGGGACACGAACACTTGGAAGGTTGATACAAGGCAGGACACGAACACTTGGAAGGTTGATACAAGGCAGGACACGAACACTTGGAAGGGTGATACAAGGCAGGACACGAACACTTGGAAGGTTGATACAAGGCAGGACACGAACACTTGGAAGGTTGATACAAGGCACGACACGAACACTTGGAAGGTTGATACAAGGCAGGACACGAACACTTGGAAGGACTCGTTATAGGAGAGACTAAGTAGACTTAATTTAGGCGATGCAATTCCAAAATTCTAGTAGCGTAAAGGGCATCCTGTTCGTGACGTCACGGGTGTCGTTGTCGTTTCTTAGGTGGTTATCGGCTCCTATCCGGCCGAGTGCACTTGTTAGGTTAGGCCGTTGCGTCATTATGTATCCTGAGAGCGCAACCCCGCGGGCCAGGATGGTAGGCCTACACACACACACACACACACCTTACAAATTATGTGGAAAGGAATTACAGAAGTCTAATAAAGAAGGAGACCTAGGGGCGTGGTTTAGGATAGTAAACTGTCGCCAGAGGAACACATAAAGAACATTGTGAGAGGAGCGTATGTGTCGCTTTCCAACTTAAGACTTGATTTTAATTATATGGATGGTGAAATACTAAAGAAACTGTCCATAACTTTTGTGAGACCAAAATTGGAACATGCAGCAGTTGTATAAGGTGCAACGGCATGCTACAAAATGGTTTCCGGAACTGAAAAACAAGAGTTACGAGGAGAGACTAGAGGCGTTAAACATGCCAAAACTAGAAGATAGAAGAAAAAGAGGAGATATGATCACTACGTATAAAATATTAACAGGAATCGACCAAATTGACAAACATGAATTTCTGAAATCAGCACAAATTCAAGCTAAGGAAACAGAGGTGCCGAAAAAAATTAGAACATTTTTTTTTTGCACACAGAGTGGTAGACTGTTGGAACAAGCTAATTGAGAAGGTGGTGGAGACCAAAACCGTCAGTAGTTTCAAAGCGTTATACGACAAAGAGTATTGGGAAGATGGGATACCACGAACGTAGCTCTCATCCTTTAACTACACTTAGGTAATTACAAACACCTATATTATACAGTATATCTATAAAAGATAATATCCGTATATTTTAAAGAAATTGTCCAATTCTAGGACCAGTATTCTCAGGTTAATCCGAAAGGTGTGAGAGTGCTCCTTAGTTCCAGGCATCCAGCGCCGGTAATCATTCCAGCAAGTGTGGCGACACTGACCGCGGGGGAGCCTAGTCCCTCACCACTACCCAGAATCATGAACTATCCACTTCCATTTTACGTCAGCTACGTCCACTTCCCCTGGAGACAAGCAACGATGGCGGGACGCTCGTCACAATACGAAGCATATATGTGTCCTTGTCACAGATATGTGACAAGGACACAAACTGTAACCTTGTCACAGTTAGTGGCAGGGAGGGAGGAGAATGTTGTGTCGCGCCGGGCCACTTGCCACCGCCAGGGAGTGTTTATCAACGTGGGGGTACATTTCTCACGGTGTGTGTTAGTTTATGACATATAATAATAATTTCTTTCTTTATTATGCACCCCATACCCATCCCGTGGGCGGTGGTGTAAAGGATTACAGAGGCACATAATCGGTTCAGGAACTGAATCCTCTAGTTAGTTTATGACAGTGGGGCGTTTTGTCGCCGGTGGGAGTTGCTTTGTTATGGTATGTTAGCCTATAGCGGCAGGTGTGTTAGTGGCAGTAGTATACCACGGCTGGGGGTGTTAGTATACTACAAGATTATGGTGAAGTAGCTTTCTTGTGGTGAGAATTGTCTACTCGTGAGAAGAATTTTATTATGAACTAGATGGGGTATCCGGCTGTGTCTTGGTCTCTCTCCCCCTACCCCTCCCTTATTTCTCTCTCTTCCCCACTCTCACCTACATCTCTCCCTCCTCTCTTCCCCTCTTACCCGTCTCCTCTCCCCTCCCCATGTCACCCCTCCCCCCCCCACCCTCAGCACCTGTCTCTTCCTTCCCCTTAACAACATGGTTCTGTAACTAACCAACAGACTGTCTTGTCACACAAGAGGTCGTTTAGTCGTCACGGTGCAGGTAAATGCTAACCTTGACGTCATTTGTAACACCATGGGTTGTACTGCTAACACTGTAGGACATTTGTAACACCATGGGTTGTTCTGCTAACATTTGTAACACTATGGGTTGTACTGCTAACATTTGTAACACCATGGGTTGTACTGCTAACACTGTAGGTCATTTGTAACACCATGGGTTTTACTGCTAACATTTGTAACACCATGGGTTGTACTGCTAACATTTGTAACACCATGGGTTGTACTGCTAACACTGTAGGTCATTTGTAACACCATGGGTTGTACTGCTAACATTGCAGGTCATTTGTTCTTAATGGAATAATCATGGTTGGAATTACTTTGACATGCTTGGTGTCTGAGGAGGTTATAAGTCGCTTTATCACGGGGCCTTGTGCGACGAGAGAGTTGAATTTATTATGTTGTTAATTTCGTCATAAGTTAACTTAATACACCGAGATGGAGATGGAAGCGGGTGACATTATGGGCGGGGATCATTATCTTATTCCCAGAATTATTTTAAATTAAATTATAAATCGGCAAACATAAAGACCAAGGCGGGCAAATATACAGCCAGACACAAGAACATTTACAGAGGCACCCACACACACACACACAGACAAACTCACAGACAGAGCCTAGCCCCCAGACAACCGTTCCCCCCCCCCCTCCCTACCCACCCCCAAGAGGTGTGTGATAATCCACCACTCCCTTAACACCAACTCGCTCGGAAAGGCCCAGCGGGAGACATCACGGTCCTAAAATAAGATTTAATTTGTCTCCATTTTATTAAGGTGAATTGAATAGATTCTATTTTGTGCCAATTGTATTCACGCTTTCTTATTTCTTCTCCGGGTGAAGGCATTGAGAAAATCGTAATAGTTGTTATATGGGTCGTGATTCAGGTTTGGAAATTCCCTTGAGTACAGTGTAGTACGGTCTGTCTTCATATTAATACACAGAAACATGATGCAGTGGACAACACGTACATTCGTGACAAACTAAGACATTTGAAGACGGATTTTTACAGAGATTAATAGGGGCAATATGTTCATACATAGATATACGTGGTTATACATATATATGTGTAAACAAGTAAATAATATGTTTAGAAACAAATACTATATGTGGAAATATTAAACATAAAAAGAGAGTAGCAAGACACCAGCTGGGGCCTAATATGACTGTGGAATGAGCAACCCGTTCTCGCAAATTTAATAAGTCAATATTGACTTATTAGTTGCGTGCATAGGTGACATACTAAACATAATAGTTTCCCTTGAAAAGCTTCATAGAAAACACCGACCTTACCTAACCTACTTAGTATGTTAAAATAAGCATCTTATAGCTTCGTAATTACAATTGTTACTTAACCTATTATAGGTATAGGTTAGGTAATAATTGTAATTACGAAGCAATAAGATGCTTATCTTAACATACTAAGTAGGTTAGGTAAGGTCGGTGTTTTCTATGAAGCTTTTCAAGGGAAACTATTATGTTAAGTATGTCACCTATGCACATATTTAATAAGTCAATATTGACTTATTAAATTTGCGAGAACGGGTTGCTGCACTATACTAACACAGTACTGCAGAGACTGAACATACTTAAAGTATTCTGTGTAGTATCTAAGATACTTAAAATAAAGACATATAAGTTGCTATATAACTCAACTTTGATTCTAAAGTGCTTTGACGCCACGTAATGATGGTGAAAAGCCCGAGTGTGGTTCGTGGTACGCTTTCTTCATGATTACGGTAATAGGATGATAAATCTTAGTGTGGCAGCACGATTTAAAGTGTCCTAGCACGATCTGGCATAACCTAGCGTGACCTGGCATGATATACTATAACCTAACATATCTATGTCAGGGCCCAGTATGACCTACCAGGTCCTATACTTGACATGGCCGTGACTTGGCGAGAAGTGACCCACCATATAGTGCTCGCTGGAGTTCCAAGTTGACGGGACGACGATGGTGACCTCGCGGAAGTAGGCTCGCCGACGCGTAGCCTCGTACAGCACCAGCGACCCGTCCGTGAACATCTTCTGTCAATGGGAGGAAAGATGTTACGAGCACTGCAGGCAGGACGGAAGTGTGGGTTAACAGACTGACAGTGTTAAATATGTGGGTTAGCTGGGAGAACTGGAGTAGGTGTGAGTACACTACCCATGCGGGTACATTTCTGGTACATTACTGGTACGGCGGCTGAAGAGGAAGGGGAGAAATTTGAGGTCGCGCCAAGAGCCATGTTTACTAAGAGGGATAATTGTTGGGAATGTGTAGGACAACAATGATGCCCTTGTGGCCTGAAAATTTAGAAGTCACGAAGGATGGTAGTAACGTACATGGTGCTGGAGACCGGATAGTTGGACGGCGGGAGGGAAGGTGGAATTGAGAATGTGGCATTTGAGCTGAACCCGGCTGTGCTGTAGGTGTACTCACCTATTTGTGCTTGCGGGGATTGAGCTTTGGATCTTTGGTCCCGCCTCTCAACTGTCAATCAACTAATGTGTGTGTGTGTACACACCTATTTGTGCTTGCGGGGTTGAGCTTTGGCTCTTTGGTCCCGCCTCTCAACCATCAATCAACTGGTGTACAGATTCCTGAGCCTACTTGGTTCTATCGTATCTACATTTGAAACTATGTATAGAGTCAGCCTCCACCACATCACTTCCTAATGCATTCCACCTAAGTGTGTGTGTGTGTGTGTGTACTCACCTATTTGTTCTTGCGGGGGTCTCTTTGGTCCTGTGTGTGTGTGAGCACGCATGCATGCGTGTGCGTGCGCTATAGGGGTGTAAGGGGTATAACAGAGCGAGGGGCAGACACAGGGTAGGCAAGAGGAAACAGTCAAGACACAGATGGCCCGGGCGAGCACAGATACAGAAATATAATAACCACGACAGAGGAGTGACGTCACACACCTCGCCTTACATACGTGGATCTTATTTACGTTCGTCGAAACATCCGGATTAACCCACGCCGCTCAAATAAAAAAAAAAAATACTCGCCCACCTCCGCCAAGCGAAACAACCACCGCCTTTTAAATCCTCCATTAAAGCCATGGCTGAGCGAAAAGTGGGGCGTATATAAACGTTGAGGACGAATGGGAGAGATGTATGTAAGTGATGTTAAACGGAGCACGTGGCCTAGCTAGCTCCCCAGCTGGGTGGTGCCGGGGGAAGTGAGTTCCTTCATGCTTTTTATGTTCCGTGTCCGTCACCACCACCCACAGCCACCACCACCCACAGCCACCACCACCACCCGTGTCACCCACCTAAGAAATGCCCAGAGACGTGAAGTTGCAGTATTAAAAGCTATGACAACTTTTGTAGTAATAGGTATTTGTATGGTCAGCACAGTAGCCGGACCAGACAATGTGATGTAGTCATTGCACGAATTCGCCTTGGCTATAGGCACATCTGGCAGGTTAGTGAGGCTGAGTCACTACCAAAATATTCAGATTGTAAACTCTGTGACAAACCTTTAAGGTTTGAACACTATATTGAATAATGAACTCTATATGAACACTGAACACCAGAATACTCCCTGCCCTTGTGTGCATAATAGAAAGTTAAATTTGCAAATTTCGACTCATTTGATTCAAATTAGATACATTTATAGTCAGGAAACAAATATACAAAAACGGGTTTGGAAATAGTATAAGATCGGTGGAAAAAGTTGGAGGCAAGTAACACAATAACAGCAACTCATTGGAAAGTTTCAAACTAACTCAATTATAAATGTACAAAACATGAATAAAGTTTTAAGTTTGAATTGAATTTTAAAATGATTGGGAGTTTTTGAATATGGAGAGAAGCCTCGCCTCACCTGGGCCAAAAGGCTTTCTACAGGCTCAGATACTAAAACATTTATTATGTGCAGCGAGTAGGTTATATATAATTGCTGTTATGAAGCTCTTCCTGTCGATAAATGCAGGAGATGTTTTCAAGTGCTTGAAGAGTAGGCTTTGAATCACAAAATATTATTCCTCCTGTGATGTTTAATGCATTGGTAGCTAGTTGATGTGTTGCTAGTTCTGTTTGTGAGTGCAGCCAGTTGTTTAACCTGAAACTGATAGTCTGTATGAAGGTATTATTTTGATATGACCTACAGGTTGCTGCAGTCCGTCCTGTTAACGACTGGACTGGGCCATCGGTGTAGACACAGTGCTCGTGAGATCTTAAATGTTTTTATAGAGGGGATTGTTTTAAGTGCGACAGCTTGAAGAAGAGCAAGATTCCCATTACCTTTCTTGGTGATGGGTGTGTGTATGATACTTGAATAGTGGGGCCCAGATGAAGAGGGATATCAGTGATAGCTGCCTGATACCTGCTGCCCACTATACATGCCTGCGGGTCACTAACCAAATTATTGCATGACCAATAAGCAAGTCACTGATTGTTTGTTATTTAATCATGCCCAGATGCGATGCCCAACCAACGCTCACTACCACACACCGCACACTACACCACACCACCTCACACCACACCACACCCCTCACACTACTCCACACCCACTCACACCATACCACACCCCTCACACCACACACTCCTCACACTGCGCCACACCTTTACGTGCTATTCATGCCCGTGCCACCTCTTGGATGGCTTAACATCAATCAATCAACCCTTCAAATAAGACCACCATCCCGGCATCTTCCCTAGCGAACACCATATTAATATGGTGTTCCAGTTAATATGCGAATATTAACTGGACCGGATGTCGATTCCCATTTTCTGCGGGTGAAGGACCAATGTGTCCACTGGCGTCATTGTTAATGTGTCCGCCTCCACGCCTCTCCTGTCTCTCCTATTATATCTTCTTTTACTGTTTTATATTCTCTCTCTCTCTCTCTCTCTCTCTCTCTCTCTCTCTCTCTCTCTCTCTCTCTCTCTCTCTCTCTCTCTCTCTCTCTCTCTCTCTCTCTCTCTCTCTCTCTCTCTCTCTCTCTCTCTCTCTCTCTCTCTCACACTCTCTCTCTCTCTCTCTCACACTCTCTCTCTCTCTCTCTCTCCCCAGGGACTTGCCCGAAAAGCTACGCGTACTAGTGGCTGTACATGAATGTAACAACTCTTGTATATATATCTAAAAAAAACAAAAACAAAAAAAACTGTTTCTACTATTACTTTTTTTTCCACACCACACACACCAGGAAGCAGCCCGTGACAGCTGACTAACTCCCAGGTACCTATTTACTGCTAGGTAACATTGGCATAGGGTGAAAGAAACTCTGCCCATTGTTTCTCGCCGGCGCCCGGGATCGAACCCCGGACCAAAGGATCACGTGCCCAGCGTGCTGTCCGCTCGGCCACCGGCTCCCATAAGTGTGTACTCACCTAATTGTGCTTGCGGGGGTTGAGCTTAGGCTCTTTGGTCCCGCCTCTCAACTGTCAATCAACTGGTGTACAGATTCCTGAGCTTACTGGGCTCTATCAAATCTACATTTGAAACTGTGTATGGAGTCAGCCTCCACCACATCACTGCCTAGTGCATTCCATTTATTAACTTCTCTGACACTGAAAATATTCTTTCTAACGTATGCGTGTGTGTGCGTTTTCGTATCATAATAATGGTAAGCAGCAGGGGTTTCACATTATATCCGAAAATTAACTGAAATTTTCATTTTCCAAATTAGTATTATTATTTCAACACCAACCTTTAGATTTGTAATGATGTTCGGATCCTCGGGCACCTCTTCCCCGATGGCCACGACGACGCCCTCATAGCCATTTTCAGAAAGGACTGTGTTCGCCCTGACTAAACCAAGGACAGAGCCAAGCGTCAAGACACCTAAAATCATGCCTGCCATTCTTCTCATTCAAGATTGTTTATCACGCCGGCATCTCTTTAACGAATTCCGGCATGTTTTCTAACCACACGCCATTCTCCTTGATAAATGACCTGTTATACTTTCTTCAACAATTGAAAAACCTGTCTTGATTCTCACTTGACAATAAAACATTTGTGCTCGAATATAATAGTGTTTATGTGGAACATAAACGCCCACTACGCTGCCCGAGGGAGGAGACCCCTGTATGCTTAGGGAGTAATTTTCACAGTTAAACGTTTACGTTCGTCACTTGTTCACAAACTGGAGAAGATGAGGACGGAGCACGCAAGAGGCTTACCCCCGACCCTGCTGCAGCCAGCCACAGCCTCACACTAACCATTTACCACGCACACGACCCCAGAAAAAAGCCAGGGAGAATACAAGAGTGACCTACGTCATCGAGTCCGGAAACGGACTGAGGGGGACTCCGGGGGTGACACAAGCAGCGGACATGATTGCTTCAGCAGATGTGCGGCTCTAAGAGCGTCTTTGTGTTTAATCTTATATCAAGTTTTAACCCTAGTTGGGTGTATATTGTAACCTCTTATTGCTCTTTGTTTTAACAGGGTTGATGCTCATAACTTCTTACGCTTAATTTTGATATATATTTTTAAGAGTCGTATTTTTTTGTTTAAGCATATTAGGATTTTACTCAAGCTTTATATTTGGCATTTGGGTTAAGAGTCAGACGAATTTCCAATAATTTTGTACAGTCTGATGGCTGCGTAAGGGACATGGAGGCCTCAGATTTTAGAGAAAATGTCTAATGTTTTAGAAACTTTTTATACTTTGTATATCACAATTAAATTATCTCAGAATGTTTGGTAATATGTTTATTGTTTGTGATGTGTGTATATGTATGTATTAACACGATGTACTAAACGGGGTGAGAATAGCTTGAGCTACCTCATCCCTTTGTGTGTATTTTACCTCAATAAACTTATTTCAATTTCAATTGAAATTCAGTTTGTTATCAATGTAAACACCAATGAATTTCCCCATCTATTATCTTCTCAATTTAAGTATTGTTAATTCACAACTTGATTTAATTGGTGAACATGCTTCCAAACAATACGTAATACGATTTTTCAGTGTTAAGGGTAAGTTTATTAATAATTAACCATAAATTTATTTATTTATTTATATACAAGAAGGTACATTGGGTGTATGAGAGTACAGAGACTTGACGTTTTACATTCATGTAAAGCCACTAGCACGCACAGTGTTTCGGGCAGATCCTTAATCTAACATATAATTTTAAGAAGGTAATTTCTAGCAAAATTAAAAAAAAATGTTTACAGGTACATTGTAAGAAAGTATACAAATACATTGTAAGAAAGTATAAAAAAATACATTATAAGAGAATATAAAAAATAAATTGTATAAGAAATTTGACAGAAAAAAAAGGTAGGTACATTAAAGTAAATGTTAGGGTAATCCACAAGTACATTTTAGCATAATTTGAGGATTATTGCAAGATATAATGTAGCAAACTATGTGTATAACATGATATAAGATAACAGCAATGATTACAATGGTAAAGTTGTATGGCATAGGTATATATATTGGGGAATTGGGTAGCACTAATAATAATAATAATAATAATAATTTTTATTTAGGTAAAGGTACATACATAAAGAGATTTTACAAAGTTTGTTGGCTTTATAGATAGAGCTAGTACATACAATGCCTAAAGCCACTATTACGCAAAGCGTTTCGGGCAGGAAAAAACACTAATGACTAAAGCTTAAAACTAATGGGTAAAAAAATAAAATGTGTTGAGTACAAATAAAAATAGAGGTAAAAGAGGGGGGATCATTGTTGAAAAAGCAGCACAAATACAATTACAAATTATTACAGAAAATTACATTCAAACAGCGTTGATTTGAAAAAAAAAAACAAAAAAAAAAAACATACATGGGTTGACAACAGAGGGGTAAGGTAGGTTACAGGGAATTTATTAGGTATAGCTTCGTTTTTAACTTAAACTGGTTGAGAGAGGTACAGTCTTTAACATGGTTGGGAAGGTCATTCCACATTCTGGGCCCCTTGATTTGTAGAGCATTTCTGGTTTGATTAAGTCGTACTCTAGGAATATCAAAACTGTATTTATTTCTGGTGTGGTGCTCATGGGTTCTGTTACAACCTTCTATGAAGCTTTTGAGATCAGGATTGGCATTATAGTTTAGCGTTTTATATATGTATAATACACATGAGAGAATGTGCAGTGACTTAATGTCTAACATATTCAGAGATTTGAGTAGGGGGTACCGAGTGATGTCTGGGGCCAGAATTGGATATTGTCCTAATAGCAGCTTTGTGTTGAGTAATTAGAGGACGTAAGTGATTTTGGGTAGTAGAGCCCCAAGCACAAATACCATAGTTGAGATATGGATAGATAAGGGAGTAATAGAGAGTCACCAGGGCAGGCGTGGTACATAATATCTGATCTTAGAAAGAATGCCCACAGTTTTTGAAACTTTTTTGATATGTTTAGAATGTGTCCCTGGAAATTCAGCTTGTGGTCAATGAGAATGCCAAGGAATTTGCCATCTAATTTGTTACAAATTTGGGTATTGTTTATTTTGAGATTTATTTGATTAGAGGATTTATTGCACTAGATACAGTTAGCCACGAGTTTCAGTAAGCACTAGGTAGGAAACTATGAAGATGGAAGGTCATTAATGTAATGAGAAAGAGGAGAGGGCCAAGTATGCTGCTGAACACCTTTGGGAGAAATTGTATTATTCATTTTTGAAGGTAAGAGCTAGAAAGTTTGGCAGTGCGAGTTTTTCTATGAAGATGAAATTCGTTAGGGAGTGAGCTTTTCCATAGACCAGGTCCCTTTATTTGCATAGAGTGTTTACACAGATTAAATTTGACTCTGGGGATATCAAAGATATATTTATTTCTGGTGTAGTGATTATGTGTTTTATTACATCTGTACAAGAAGAACTTCAGAACAGGATTTGCACTTAAGAATAGGGTTTTGTAAATGTAATTGGCACAAGAGAATGTGTGGAATGAGTTATGTTTAGTATGTTTAGGGATTTAAACAAAGGGTCTGAAAGCCGAGTTTGTTATTGTTCTGATAGCAGATTTTTGCTGGGTGATGATGAGGTTGAAGTAGTATGCAGAGGCTGAGCCCCATGCACAGATACCATATGCAAGATAGGGATAAAATAGCGCATAGTATAATGAGAGGAGAGTAGAGTTTGGAACATAATATCTGATTTTAGAGAGTATACCAACCGTTTTTGAGACTTTCTTGGTTATGTGTTGTATGTGGGTGCTGAAGTTGAGTCTCTTGTGTAAGTATAGGCCAAGGAACTTTCCGTCATTTTTATTGCTGAAGTTAACATTGTCTATCTGTAGCTGAATTGCATATGTTGATTTGCTTGCAAACAAGATGTAGTAGGTCTTTTCTATGTTTACTGTGAGTTTGTTGGTTGACATCCATAAGTGAACTTTTTTTAGTTCATTGTTTACAACATTATTTAGTGTGTGTGGGTTGGGGTCTGAATAGATGAGGATAGTATCGTCAGCAAATAATATAGGTGTAAGAATGTTAGAGACATTAGGCAGATTCTTGATATATATGAGAAATAGGAGAGGTCCCAGGATGCTGCCCTGTGGCACTCCTACGGTTAATGTTAGAGTGGGAGTTATATCATTATAAATGATATAACTCCCCGTTTATCATATAACAAATGATAAAGTTATATCATTATAAATGAACTCTCTGAGTTCAGTATTCACTGTCAGAATAAGTGGGTTACCATTTGAAAAAATGAAGAGTGTCACCAGCAAATAAAATTGGTTTCAGGTGTTGCAGGCATTTGGTTGGTTATTGATGTAGATGAGAAAGAGAAGTGGACCAATTATCCCTCTCAGGGGCATCATCAGACAACTCCTCCGTGGCAAGGAAGCCGAGGAAAGGAGGATAGAAAAGCAAGTCAGTGAATCTGTACGCTGTTATAATGCAGTTGCAGCTAACAACCACATTCACTACAGACGAAAATGAGGTGGCCGAAGGAGAGAATCCGCAATTGCAAGAATTCGTCTTAGATGCAAGTGCCCATGAAGATTCGTGATGGACACAACAGCAGAGCGGCATGAAGTGAAGGACATCGACTGGACCACTATCTGAAAAATAATGTGTAGTATAATAAACTCCACCTTTATTCTAGTCAGGAAAACACTGTTAGTACAGATACTGCACCCTCAAGATGACGTAAACTTGAGGGTTGTAAGATATTAATGTTTTACTTGACAGTTTTTCCATTTGAGACAGTTAAGTAAGTCCCAGTTGGTTCTGGATACAAGTGTTTTAGTTTATTTTTTACCACAGAAGTCGCCAGAAGTGATAGGATGAACAACCCTGTGGGTTTAATTCCTATTGGGGGGGGGGGGGGTTCTACATGCTGCTATGGTGGTATGTTCACTCACAAGATGGGTGGCGCTGCCCAAGAACGTTACTCGTGGCAAAATTTAATTAACAGCAGGATAAGTACGAATTGCTAGGGGTAACCCCTTTGCTTAAACAACAGATTTAGATTTAGTTTTAGATTTAGCTACTCGGAACAAAAAGTTCATAGTAGCAAGGGCTATGGTGAGCCCGTAGTGGATTCACCTATCACAAGAGCGGGGCTGTATGTTAAGACAAACAACAGCGCATTACATGTAATCAGTCTGTATGTGTTACTGAATAAACTTGATCTTAACACATTACCTGAATTTGTTAATATAAAACCTACCCTGCTGGTCGGTGATCTTAATACCAAGCATCCACACTTTGATGCAAACTGGAATCAATCTAATGTCAATGGACGGAAACCCTCTATGTCAGGGGAAGTCAAAATCTCAAAGTCCTGAATGAAGAACAGCCAACTCACTTCAGATGGGCAAGATTAGATTATGCTCTCTTGTTGAATGCTCAAGATAGTGATGCCAGTACACACATTGTACACAGTTTATGTAGTGACCACTGGGCGCTGCTTGCCACCGAACAAGAGATAGGAGACAAATACAAGAAAAAGGCAGTCACTCTGAGTTGATATGAGGCCGCACTTTATAAACAAGATGGGTGACTGCTTCACCAACTATCAAATCCCGAAGATATTGATGGCCTCAATAAGCAAATTAAGAGCTGTCTCAGAATCCCGCGTCAACGTCGTACGAATGAGCGAAGCAACCCTCACAAAAGGAAAACCAAATGGTATGAAACTGGTTACATAAAGATGTACGGCATGAGACATCCCACTAAAAGAAATCAAAAGTTCTTTAAAATGTGTGGCAAGTAGTCAGGGAAAAGAAGATTAAAGAGCGAGAAAGACACTGGCTTGTCTTAACTAGTTCCACTGGAGGAGAAACATCATTAAGACAAGTGTGAAGATAAATATAGAGAGCTAAGGAAAGCAGAGCCCAGCCAGCTGCACACAAAAATCCCAAGGGTAAGTAAGACTGAAGAGCTAATACAAAATGGAGTAATGCAGCATCTTCCACCTCCCTTACAGAAATAAGCAGGGAACAGCTCCTGCGGTGTAATGATAGCAAAATTAGGATAACAAAAACACAATCTATAGTGACGAGTATGGACAACCAATCAGCCCAGGAAGTAAGGGAGGATATGAAAAAAAGTTAGAAGTATTGCGCCTGGTGAAGATGGCCGGTAACCTATGACATTCTCAATGCACTATCTAAGGTGTCGGGGACTTTAGTTTTGAATAAATAAACCCTAAATAGAATATTGCCCACACAATGGAAATACGCAATAATTGTCCCCATACTGAGACCAAAAGATCCTGGAAGTTACAGACGTATTACTAACTGATAATAATAATAATAATATTATTATTATTAGTAATTATAATAATAATAATTCATTGTGTAGTGGGAACAGGCAGCCAGTGTATATCGTTCCCTAAATTTACCTAAATAGACCTAAATTTATATATTTTGAATTTGAATTTTTAAATTTACCCGATGGCCACTATCTCAAAAGTGACTTCGACGAGGACAGGAAGCCGGCAGCTTATCAAATGTCCCCCCCATTTGTCTTGATAAATTTATAGAGCTAGATTTTAAAATTTAAGTTTTTTTTTACAATTTTTGTTATTAACAAGCTTAGGTATACACAGAAACGTGCTGCTACTCTATTCTACATGAAGGATTACACAGTGTAGATAAAAAAAACTAGCTTGGCTTTGGCGGGTAGGCGGTTCCTTGGGTTTATAAGCTTATGGGTAAAAAGACATGTTTTCTTCCCTACATTGTGGCTTGTTGAGCTTGAAACCCAGCTGTGTCTGGGTACAAGTGACAGGATAAACAACCCAACTGCTTGTCTGCCTATTGGGGATAGGGTGTAGTACACCCTGTTCTTGCCCCCCGGGGGCAGAAATTTAAATTGAAGAATATATTCCCCGTGTCCAGTACCAGCTAGGGGAAGGGTTTCAGGTTGGTGTCTCGTCTCTATTAAACCCTCTAAGCCGGGCATCTTATTGACCACCTCCCTTCTGTCTACACAGCCAAATTTTAACAAATTAGCCAGATACGTCCAGCTGGGGGTGTAGTGGAGAGAGAATGGCCTCGTCACTTGCATGAAACAACTTGTTGAATAGTGATCCTTTACAACACTAGCAAGCACTCGTCGCCCTGTTGTTTGTGTACTGCTGGCCTCACCCTAGTGCTGGTGGGTGGGTGTAGGGTGTGCTGGCCTCACCCTAGTGCTGGTGGGTGGGTGTAAGGTGTGCTGGTGGGTGGGTGTAGGGTGTGCTGGCCTCACCCTAGTGCTGGTGGGTGGGTGTAAGGTGTGCTGGTGGGTGGGTGTAGGGTGTGCTGGCCTCACCCTAGTGCTGGTGGGTGGGTGTAGGGTGTGCTGGCCT